AAAATTAACAAGTATTAGACAAGGTTGGAGTAGACTCGCAGTGAAGGAACTATTTCAGACTCGGATTGATGTGGTTTCTTCAACCTGATGGGTCATACAAATATAAAAGAAGTCGAGTGGTAGAGGTAATTTCAGTAATGTTCATTGAGCTAAATAATGAAGGACTATGTGTTCAGTTTCTATTTGTTCCTATTTTTGTCATTTTCTCTGCAGATTCCTTTTTTTCTCCTATTCTATATAATAAACCTCATATTTTTCCAATATTTTATATGATTAAGCAGCATGTGTCACACGATTGAAAGTGGATTTTAAAGCCTCATGTGTACATTTGACATAAAGCAAGTTGTTTCATGACTATGATGTTTTAAATGAATCTAAATGTTAAGTACAGTTACTGTAATTAGACATTTGTTCTCTGTTGTTTATCGTACTTCTGTTCCTAGCTTTAAGATGTATCGTTTCCATATTTTTCAAAGATTGCCTACTGCATCCATTGTATTTGAAAAGTTATATGAAATGCTGTTCAAGTGACTGTTAAAGTCAAAAGAATGATAATTCTCTGCATAAGCCCATTGAAAGTTGTTTGTTGTGTAAAAAAGTAAGCTTGTGTAAGCTTGTGACTGGATTCCTAAAGAAAGAGGCCCGTGAGGAGAAGTTTGAAAGTGACCAATAAGTATTGAAGGCAGGGATAAAAGACCAGCTGAAGTCAAAACGTCGAAAGACTATACTTCTTGGTGTGCGTACATTTTATAGAACATCATTTACACATCTGCAGTCTTATCTCCCATGTTTAAATCCTTTGAAGAAGGAAAGTGCAAGTGGTGTGAGGAAAATTTCAATTCCGGTAAAAAAAATTGCGGCCTCAGTCGGATGTCGGCATTTTTCAAGATGAGTAGTAGGTTTATTCTGTTGATGAAGATGGTGAGCAGTTGAAAAAGGTCAGCCAGTTGACCATTTCTGGCCTTCTGTGTTTATTCTGAATTCCCTTAATGGGATTGAGCCTTTATTCTCTCTCCCTCCAAAAAATTGTCAAAGCGGGGCTTATTCTTGAACGGACAAATGCCGAATCAGGAAAGAGTATTTCCTTCAATGCTTGCGCTGTGACACAAGAAACGACACTATTTGGAGACAGAACCATCGTTGGCCTAAGAGCTGCTAAAATGCTCTGAGGTTTAATGATTCTGGGAATTGCATTTAATGTAGTTTTAGGGTGTCCCCAATTAGTGCCTACAGGCACTAGAACGACCAGACACGTTAATAAAGGTTATGTATGTATGTTGCAAACCGGAGAAAATTCTCCTTACAGATGGTCTTTTAGCTGCTGTATGTTCTTCACATGGCATTTCATGATTGAAAAGCAAAATCAAATGAAGTGAAAGCAAAGAGGAAGCTTGAAGAAGTACGAGAAAAACAAAAAGAAGTCAGTTACTACCGGTAAAAGCTCTGTCAACTGGTGTGTATGCTTCGTCTTCATCAAATAAAAGAAAGCCAAATTAAAGGTAAACTGTCGTTGCTAAGTCATACCAAAGGTGAACTATCGTTTTTAGGTTCAATTAAGGGTAAACTTTGGTCGTTTTATCTCCGGCTGGGTGAAGTGTTGTTTTAAAACTTCACCAAGGATCTATTGTGTTTGCTGTTGTCTGCTGGTTGGTTGTTTAAATTTTGAAAAGGCAGCATTTAAGGTGAAACTGGAGTACTTCAGAGGTTACTGTTAAACCAGGGAATTTGAATTGATGAATTCGATGTAGAACCCCTAGTCTTCTTTCTAAGAAAAGGTGGCAAAATCCGATCTCAGTTGTCTTTCAAAGTAGTTTTGATTTCCTAATTTTTTCATATTTCTGGAAATAAAGTTCTTATTTTTCCAGCCTTTTCATTATTAAGTTTCCTACTTTTTCAACTGTGAGTTTCCCATTTTTTAAATTTTGAGTTTACTATTTCTCTGAACTACCATGCTGCTGGACACCTTGTAAGGATGGACTCAAGTAAGCAGAATAAAAAGGTTGCGTTTAAACAATTAGTTGATGCTTTCGTGGCTTTACACTGTAGAATCGAATCGAAAAATAATTTTTTTTAGTCGACTTATTTGTGTTTTTAAGTTTTCATGTCATTGACACCGGTTGTGGAAGTTTTTGCGCACGTGTGGACAGCGGATTATTGTCATGCTTGGTTTCCATCGCACATCGCACTCCTAACTGTTGCCGAAACATTTAAAGCAAGCGGAGGGTTTTATGGGGTTATCATGCTGTTTAATTTATTTAAGTTCACCAGGGATTCTCGTTTTCTTAAGATTCAGCCTTACTTGTTCTTTTATTTTATTTTCAAATCAAATTAACTAATGGAGAAGTCTCTGAGAACATGAGTCTTTTATGAATAAGCTGATCCTCTACTTAGCTTTTCTCCTGTACTCACATCCAAAGTTAAAATGTCTTGTGAGTGTCGCGCTCTTTGATTTGGCAAACAGTATTTCTTATGCAGTATCGTTGATGCCTATATTTTTTATTTCTACATTTATTCACGGAAAAAAAAAAAAAGTCATTACACTACCCGTTGTGTTTTTCTAAATAACTAAACTTGGTCAAATTTACTGGGGATTAAGAGAGTTTTGAGATGGAGAAAAAAAAAGCAAATCATAGCAAATTTATTTCCATTACGGCTTGTGCGTAGATACATTTGTTTAGAGATGTCCTTACTGTGACCAAAATCAGAATGAAAGTGGACAGAAGTGTCAGAAAGCAGAAGGTCCGAAAATCGAGCTATAGCGCCTGAAACTGGATTAAAAAGTCTGATAACAGCTGAGAACGTCCAAAGTCGGACTGAGATGTTCCAAATCGAACAGGAGCGTCCGAAATTGGACGAGAATATCCGACACCTTCCATAGTGTCAAGAATCGGAAATCGGACGAAAGCGTCCGAAATGGAACGATAGCGTTCGAAATTAGACGAGAACATCCGACACCTTCCATAGTGTCAAGAATCGGAAATCGGACGAAAGCGTCCGAAATGGAACGATAGCGTTCGAAATTAGACAATGACGTCCGAAAGGGTGCATTAATATCATAAGAGTAGGTGTATTATCAGGAACGTAGAATCAGTTGGGGGTTTTTGCTTAAGAGTATCAAGTGGGGAAGAATACCGCTATAAGGAATTACTGCAGTACTCGATCATGATTTGTAGTAATTTGAGGAAAACGTATGGTTCAAATGACTGCCGATTATTCCGAGGGTTGTGACCTTAAGGGCTACGGAGGGTCTGGGAGGCCGTTAGAAGAGGGGAGGGTATTCTGCAAATTGAGTGAGCAATTCTTGGTGTTATTCGACGAGGATGCTCTATGGAAAAGTGTTCCCTCTTCGTCTTTGAAGTCTCAGGGTATTGCTCTGTCATGAGCAGTACAACGTAAGCAAGCTCTGATTTCTGATTGGTTGGAAGAGTTTGCTCAGCACATGCAATGCATAGAGGGCGCGGAGTATTGAATTTGACTCAACTTTAGCACTTTTTTATGGCCAGGAAAAGTTATAATTGGTCTAGATCTACCTAACGGCTAGGACTAGACAGTAGACAGCAGACTTAAGTCGAACCCTCATGGAATTGAAAAAAAGGGTCGGTGAGTTTTCGGAAGTCGAGTGCGGCAGGTAGTTGAGAACCAACAATCAGAAAAGAGGGGGAAAAAGGCGTTTCCCTAACGTTTTTTTCAGTACATTGTACATTTCAATCAATTTTAATTGAGAAAACGATTCAAAGTAGAATATTTCAGTTGAACATTCACTTAAGAAGCAAAACTTTATGGAGGTGTAATGTGTAGTATTGAACCAACACGGACTGCTCCACGTAAATGTTGTGGACTAAAGCACCATTTGTTTTCACTTGTCAGGTATCGACTCATTTTTTCAAGGTATCCGCGGTAAGATGATATAGGAAATGACCAGAAGGGAAACCAAATCGGATAAGGTAATGGAAGGAGCCTCGATTGTTCTCCATTTTCCTGTGACTGAAGAACTTGATAAGCAGCCAAGCAGTGAGGAATAGAGAAGACGCATTGAACTATAATAAGGGGGTACCTCGCACTATTTCTTTGCTGTCAGCTCGTTTTACGATAAACATAATCTGAGAGTCAAGTTAGCTCGTTTGGTAGAATTTGTGTTAATTAGAAGCATTGTATCACAATGACCCTTGATTTTTTATTCTTCCTGCCATATTACTCATCATACGCAGAGAATTCCCTCAGGTTAAATAATAATATGATAATGTTACAGAGTGCATGAGGAGATCAAATGACTGAAAAATAAAGGAAACAAAACGGGGGTTTGTGGTAAACAGTGTAATAGCTGTGATAGTATGCATCTTACATCTCATATGTCAAGTGTTTTTATGTGTACTGTACTTTCTTTGTTTGTGCTTCTCTTCGTAATACCCTATCCAACTTTGTTCCTTTAGTAATGTTGGTAATAGTTTTGTTTGTTTTTATTCTTTTTTTTTTTTTCCAGGGCTTGTTTCTACTATGTTCGTATGTTTGTTTGTTTGGTTGGTTGGTTTTGTTGGGGAGAGTTTGTCTTTTTCCTTAGTGTTGAAGTCTCTATTGTCTCCCACTCGAGTTGAACTGAAGTTTGAGGATATTTTGACCATCTATTTGATTGTTCAAACATTTGAGGTTTCCACCGACTTTCCTTCTTTGGAAGTCGCCAGTTTGTGTGTTTTATCCGAAGGACTCTTATTAATTTGAACCATGCAGCTTTCTGGAACATTTTTTAAACCCTTAGGCTAAATATGGGGGGCTTTACGTACATCCTGAGCGGAAATTCTCTTGTCGAGATTGCTTCTTGTTGCGGCTCGAAAGATGGCCTCTTGGCCAAAGTAGCTCAGTCACTGTTCTGTGGCAATTGTGATCTGTAAAACATTAAATAAAATACTGATTTAACGGCAGGATTCTAAACTGACCATGGGGTGTATTTGTCATTCGAGAGTTTTACAATATTGTCAGCGTTATTTTTCTATTTAGGGCAACATCCCTAACACGTAGCGTCCGAATAGTAGTCTGCTGTCTCTAGTTTGTGCTCGTGCAGCAGAGGTGAGGTGAATTACGTTGTCGGAGTATTCGAACGTTCCATCGTCATTATTTCTTCATGGAAGTTGGCATTCTAGTATTACACTGACAGATGTTGAAGTTCTCCACGAGAATGTCCAGCATCTGATGATAATCGAGAGACGAGAAGTGTTTGCAAAGAGCTGAGAATCTTTACAGAGGCAAAGTTTCTCAAATCCTCGATCACGGATGAAGAACCTGAACAGTTATCAACAGGTCGGTGTAGGAATTTTTACGTTTTTAACTCAGAAATGAAACATATGCTACTCATTTCCGATGGTTACGCTTTACTCAACTTAATACCTAATCTGTTTCAAGTGTTATTACAACCCCTCCTATTTGAAGTAGGGTCAATATCGGCAGAAATTAATTGTTAATTATATATAATCCTCATTGAGATCTAACAGTGTTTTCCTGCATACTATGAGACTTTATTTTAATTAGAGAAGAGTTATGTTTAACAATTGAGGTTTGAGGTATGAAATAGTCCTATTCTGTTTCCGTGGTCAGAATCATTCGAATATTTTTCATAGCGAGAAGTTTATAGTCCAGAAATCAAACGGACTACTGACGCACTTGCTTTTGCCAAAAGATCTGTCATCACGGACGACTACTCAACAGCTTGCCAAAATAGTTACTTAAAATTGTAGAGTGAAAACCACAAGGTTGTTACCTCCTAGGCAGAACATCATAGAACCACTCTTCACGTTTTTTTGGCATTCGTATCATGCTGTGAATGTATACCACAACACGAATGTTTTTTCACGTCAAATTGTGACAAACAATGCCTTTACTGTTTGGAATGTTGACCTCTATGAGTCTCTTAGCTACTGATGTATTACCTTTTACTTCAATCGTGGTTACATATTTTTTAGAAAATCGCATTAACTGATCTAAGCCGCTTTCTTGGACAGCTTGATATGTTAGAACTTAATTCCCTCAAGCAGTTGACGGTGCATTTATCAGAGCAAAAGGGAGGATAACGCAGAGACTTGTATATTCAATTCCAGACTGATTTATGTATGAATAATGAAGCATCGTCTACTTGGTGATAAAGTTCGCCAACGTGTTCTGTATTCGTTTTCAAACTCGCCCGCAAGTTTTTCTTCGTTTTGCAACGAACGATACATTAATAGGAGTTACTAGCATAAACTATCAGGTTCAGATGACGATGAAACAGGAAAAATTAAACGACCTTCTCATTTTTGATCAAATTTTATATCGCTTTTAAAAATGTGTTCATCTTGCAATCCTTCTGTAATCGTACTTCGTACAATTTTCCAATGAACAACGGTCACGTTTTATCGTCATTGTTATATCAAGTTATTCGCAATTGGAATTTCCATCATGCATCTTATAGCCGTATTGTAAAGAGTTCAAATAAAACCTAAACTTCATGGTTGTCAAGAACCGTTAGCTAAGGACGCTAACCTAGAAACTTAACTTTCCAAAATATACATGGCGAATCTACGAATGAGAATGTTAATTGTAAAAAATCATGTTTGTTTGCTAACCTTTCAAACTATGAAAAAATCTTTCAATTTTTATCGTCAGGGTTAAAAAAATTCCACAGGAAAAAGTAAAAAAACAGTTCGCAGATTGTTTTTTGGACACAGCGTTGTTAAGAACCATTAGCTTGGGACGCTATCTTACAAACCTAACTTTCCAAAACATGTATGTTCTAATCTACGAATAAGAATGTCTATCGTAAGAAATTTTGTTCGCAAACCTTTTAATCTATGTAGAAATCTTTAACTTTTTATAATCAGTGTTAAAGAAAAAGGCAGAAGGAAAAGTAAGAAAATAGTTCGCCGATTGTTATGTGCCTCGAGAAGAGACACATTATTTGACTGCATTGTGTGATTGTGCGGCTGAAAGTTGTTCTTAAAAGGGTCGGTAACAGTGGCTCGGTATATGTTTCGATAATCTGAGGGGTTGTTATCATCAGTCGATTATTAGAGAGTACGAAAGACTCCAGCTATCTCACTAACAGGACGGATCTTGTGACTGTTTGTAAAGTAACTATTTACCTGATTTATTACCGTACTAGAATAAGCTATAGCAATTGCTTGAAAATAAAAGATTCAAGAGGGTTGTGACGGATAACCGTGAAGGGCAAACTCCAAGATATTGCCTAGATCAAAGAGAGTTTTTTCAGCTTTGCTGCATCTAAATTAATAGCTTTAACCTTGTGTGCCCCTTCTGATGGATTAGTAATCTAACGCACCTCCCCAGCTTATCAGAAAGTCGAGAATGGCGCATCACTTTGCAACAAGTTACATTTATCACCCATTCATCCTGTCAACACGGTGATACCACGAGTGGGTGTTGACCCGTTCTTGATAGAAAAGCCGGAAACAGAAGCAGACGTCTTTGGCAAACCACTGAAAATTTACAGTCTCACTGAGTTAGTTGCAACAATTATTTCGAATAGCTAACCTTGTTCTTCTTTAAACCCTCGAAAGACTTTGAGTTAGTTGAGTTATTTGAGTTAGTATGACTACTCTGTCTGGGATGTATACAGAAGCTTCTCGTAAGAACGAATTGCAAATGTGTTCTTCCAAACTGTTAATTCTCTAGTAAAGTCACAGTTAATTTTCAGTGATAAAACACCAAGTATGCCCAAATTGAGAAGAATTTTTTTAAAGTGTTGTATTCTATTTCGGTCTTTGAGAGAGCGTCAGTGATGCTCTTTATTTATTAAATTTTGATTTCCTTTCCCATATCACTCCTCACTAAGTTTGCCACGAAAAGCTATCGTATGATAAAAACATCCCCAGAAGTCAGTAGTTTTTCCAAAAGTGAGACTGGAATAGAGATAGAGAGAAACCTGTGTTTCTATACAAGGATTTGAACAGAGAACTGCTCGAATGCGATCCCCACATGATGGATGGCATAATATGATACATTTGAACTGGGTGACTAATATATGACAGTCACGGATGCTTGTCGGGTAAATTGTCTAGTTATTTCTTCATCCATCAATGAGAGCCGCTTCTACGATGTTTATTTTTAACACGAAGAACAAAACAGCTGTGGCTGCCGTTCATTAGACTCGTGAAATAATCCCGCTTGCTTTTGCTTGTGCACGTGTCACAATAGCCACAACAAGTTTGACGGCATTGTTGTAGAACGCTTTGATGAAGATATCGCCTTTGTTTGCGATAATTACTTACTGCTAAGAGCTGTACGTATGCCTCTTGATTTGCCTCTTCGAATAATTATGTTTTTGTAATGCTAAACTGTAGACTTAATTAAATTCGCTAGAAGTTTTGGTCCTGTTTCCACTGCATGGCAATCATGTGTGTGGACATATGTGATTTTGGTTTTCATGAAGCTTAGCTCCAAGTGTGAGTCCACACGGAAACGAAAAGAAAAACATGCCTCATATTATGAGTTACAATTTTCTCTGTGGCTCTATTTGTTGTTACCATACCAGTATATACTTGCCATTCCCAATGCTTGCTCCTCTGAATGTTCGAGTTTATTTATTTGACGTACTCGTTGCTCTCGGAAACGAATACTGATTCCTCTCAAGAACTCCTCTGTCGAAAACGCTAAAAATATGTATTTACAAGGAATTCACTTTAAAAAACGGTCGTAAAACAAATATTAAGAGCATACAGCAGACACGGAACGGAGTAATGAGACAATTACCATCCCTTTGTTTACGTAGGTCTGGGAATGAGAAAGAGAAGGGTATCAATATAATCCTAAAGGTTCCGCCTCGAACCAGTTTCATTTTTTTTGTTCATCATTCCGACTTTAGCCAACAAACGGTCTCTAGTATAATAAAAATCACAATGTGAATAAGCCAGGTATATTTGCTTCTGAAACTGCATCTCATCAAATGCCTCATTAGGAAAGATTTGTTTCAGAAGTTGGAAAAGATGTTAGGCAAAATGTTAACCGTTTTTTAAAGAAGTGCTTTCATTTCGGACTGTTCTCAACCCTAATTTTGAAGGCATCACAAGCAGTTTGAATTTCTTTTTTCTTTTGTGATGTTTACCTTATCGAGATGATCTCTACCAGCATAACAAAATTACTGTTTTGGGAGCCTCTTTGCTATGACCTTAATAACCGTAAGGCGCTGTTATAACATCCTTGAAATTTGCATAGCGTCCTCGCATAAACATACAACGTTGCGCTCTAAACCGAAAATCTGTACAGGCAAGTATATAGTTACTGACAATATCTCGTACTTGTAATAGCGGTTAATGTAAAAACAACTACTTTTATTTTTTCCCTGATAGTGTACCTTGTATTAAAAATTGCCTGATTTATATAGAAACATTTTTATTCCAAAGGCGCAACGTAGGAAACAAAATCTTTTTTTGTACTCACGCTGTTAGCCTTCAACTTTATTGTTCTCGTATCAGAGCGGTTTTTTTTTTCTTTTTTTTTTTGAAAGAGCCAACTATCGATTAAAGAAACACTAACAATTACCCTTTTTTTTCTCTTCTACGGAAATTTCTTTCCTGATGACTTGAAAAGTTCTCGGAAAAAACCTTTCGAAATTGACCTCATCGTGATAAGAACTGATAACGCGATAATTAAAGTGCTTAACGTTGTGGTAAGGCGAGATTCTTATCAGACAATCTAAGAGGGTTGAACTTCAACCTTTTTCCACTGTTCAGCCCCAACCATGCCCCCAGCCCAACTGTGTTGTCAATTCAACGATTACGAAAGCTTTAGATACTCCCGTGATCTTTTCGTTAGGCGAATTTTGTTCTTCTGCGTCTGTTCTGTGGTCGCATTCATAATGTTTACATGTGCTGTTCTCCGTAGCCCCACCTTCGCAGCGGCTGGCACAGTGCTGTCGCAGTTAATCTTAAATCAAGCATGGCTTCTCAGGAGGAACACAGCGGGACGTCGAAGCGTTTGAAAAGGCTTTGCACAAAAGCGATTTCGAGCGCTTCTAGGGTTGTGATTAGCTATTGTACCCCCACGCTGGGGAGTAGAACGATAAAATATTACGTCCAAAACCAAGCGTGGGATTCTTGGTCCAACCGGACGGAACGTGAAGACTTGACTGTCAGATAGCTTGTGTATTTATCGTAAGAAGCTGCTAACTTTTTAGCTTATCATTCCGGCTGTTCCACAGACCAAACTGTGGTCAAAAGTGTTGATGAAAATGTCCAACATTTTCAATTTAATTATGTTTCCGTTGGCCTTGACAACAAGTTTTTGTTCGGTGTCCACCAAAAATTACACATGGACCATGGTGAGTGAGGTCGCATTAAAAGTATATATTAAAATTTTCAATTCTTTTTCTTCACCTTCACTTTTTTTTTTTTTCGATCACGGCTAAGCAGAGAAAATTAAGACGTGTTTTGGTTTAGATGGTAAATAAAAATTTAAGTTTTTGTAACCTCTGAATGCTTTTTTTTTTTTTTAGTTTGTGTCATCGTTTGTCGCCCAAGGGAGACAAGCTAAGGACAGTTGATGGGTGAAAATCCACAAAACTTTTAAATTTGATTCTACTCCTGAAAACAACTTACTACTTTCATAGCAGAAAAGTGCACAAGCAAGGATACTTGGAAAATAGCCTTCGAGTCTCCTTTATTCTAAACACTACTTTCAGTTGACTGAAAAGTCCTTTCTTTAGTTTTTGTAATTACCAACTTCTAAAGAGAATCGTTTATGCAAGTTTTATGGACGATTACGTGGTTGGTATAATTACGTTTTGAGGTTGTTAACAACTTTGTTGACTAACTTATCATAAGGTTCCGGCGTTCGATTGTTCCGCAATGATATGGAGACTACTTCAGGTAATGTGTTTCTGAATCTACCGCAAGGGTTCAGGAAGAGCACCATCCCGTTTAGATTCCGCCGAAAAGCTTACGTGGCTGAGAACAATTTATACAAAGCTTCACGCGTTCGATCGCACTCACGACATAAATGGATTTTTTCAAATTATAGAAACTCTCGTTTGTGTTTTTGGTAAAGGTGTTATTATACGTTTTAACTTACCGCCAGCTTTTTACTATGTTATATGCGGGCCTGTGTAATAACTTACTTTACTTAGACTGTGATATATAGCATAGCTTCGATCGAAATTCATTGACGTTTTTTATAGCAATAAATGGGTTTTATTTTTCTGCATTTTGTGACAAAGCCTAACTGTCTGGGAACCGTAGAAATCTTTTGAACTTCGAGGGGGCAGACAACTCGCTGGGGTACTTTTTCAACTCAAAAAACTGCAAACAACAGAAATAAAACCTCCCAGCTGTTTCCTCCCCCTCATATTTCCTAAGGGAATACTTATTTCAGTACTGAGTGGAAGAAATACTTTAAACCTTCTACTCTTCATTCTTGGAGTAAATATAAAATTGACTTGTCGTATCTTCTCCCAAGAATACCAGCTTCAAGTACTCTTTACAATTTTATTTCACTATGTAAAGCGAATTCGTTTTGCCATCGTAAAAGGTGCCATGTTTGCAAGCTCAACGATATGGATAAATTTTACGAGAGCCTCACCAAAAAACACAGACCCCTTTGTTGATCTATCAAATGCTTCAGTAATTGTTGTGCTTGAAGAACTGCACTGATTCACCTTGTTCGAAGACTTGTATTTGTCCTTGATTGATAAATAGATATTTTTTGTAGAATTGTAATGAAAGTGTAAGTTTGAGGTTCCGTTTCATGATTAGTGGATCATTTACTCGGCCCCTTCGATTTAAAAGATAACTCGAACCCATTTTTTTGTAAAGAATTTTCACGAAAGATATTAAAAACGAGTGAAGAAGGCCAAGGTGGCTATGTTTAATTTATAAAGGCTCAGCTTTACAATTACCGTCTCTTAACAATCATACGCTTTTGGTAAAAGGAAGATAAAAAATCTTGTTAACACGGAAGGAACAGCACAATTTTCAATGGCTATTTTGGCGTTAAACGGAATTTTATTTTCACCAGTTAAGAAAATAAATGAAAAGGTTTTGTTTTTCCAAAATGGAAATCATCACACGATACAAATCGTCTTCAAGATCGAGCGCCGTTTGCTGCGTAATGAAAGGACTAAGATAATGACAGTTTTTCTCTCTCTTGGAAAGACCATGCTTACGACGAAATAACATATTCTTAGACACCACGTCCTACAAGGGCACTACTGTGTTTCAAAGCTGTTTTAACGCCTCATTTTTCGTGACTCGACTAGAAAAGTTTACTGTTAGCGGTAACCGGTGCGAACAGCATGGCTTCCAAATGTTTGTAATTGCTACGTTCTGCCTCACGAAACGTGACTTCTTTGAAGAATCGAATTCTCCAGCTAATCTTTCCGCTCTAGTATTGTAACATTTTTTGAGAAAAAATTTCTTTCTTTTTTCTGTTACATTTGATCGGAAACCGCGTACTGTTGCGAAGATTTGAAAGTCTTACATCTAGTATTCAACATTTGTTTTGTCTTTTGCATCCAACTGGTTCACAGATTTCGTTGTGTTTGCTACAACGTAGGTTTCAGATATTGCATGGTATTCGCCTATAATCAATTTCTGTACATCTTGTCAAGATTTACACGACAACCTGGTTAAGGTAAATGAAAACAAATATTTACATGCGGGAGAGGGAATCTGTACAAGCAATAGAATTCGACAAGAGAAAGCACTTCATAAGTACTTCCCTTTTATCGTCTTATTTGCAAATTAAAGAGTGCTGCCTTAATTTAAAACTGTGTAAATCGTTCATAACTTTCTAAACGAATGAAATTTCTGCAGTAGGAGTTTTCTTACATTACGTAGCTAAGATTGTTGCCTCGAACGCTTTTAGAAATTCGTTGCGAAATTTTTACATAATATTTGTACTCCTGTAAAACTTGGGCACTTTTAACCTTGTCTACAGATGTCCAATGCTTCAACTCATTTGCAAAATCTGCATTTAGCAAGAGTACCATTCTGAATTGTTCTCTGCATTTGATCGCGGCCTGGGCGACGGAGATCTGGCCGAAGGCTTTATTGGACTATCCCTGTCTGAGCTTATACTATCCCGCTGTCCGTTCGTTTGTGAAATAGGCGGCGACAAAGGCCTTAGTCCACCAGTTTCATGAAGTTTCATGTGTTTTCGAAGTGAGCTGGGATGCGTATAGCTTTTGTTGCACCCTTCAATTTTACAAATGTACGGCTTATCTGAAGTATGAACGTGCGAATGCTTTTTTCTGTCGCTTGAGTTGGCGAAGCGGCGATCGCAGCCAGGGAACTCGCACTCAAATGGCTTTTCTCCCGTGTGAGTTCGTTTGTGAATTTTTAAGTTCTCAGACCTAGCGAACAGTTTTCCGCATCCAGGAAAAGGACATGGGAAGGGTTTTTCCCCTGTGTGGACTCGGATGTGGTTTACCAACTTGTATTTTGCCTTGAATGGCTGTCCGCTTCTCCCGCACTCTTGCCAGTAGCAAACGTGCAAGTTGGAGTCGTTGATGCTCACATGCTCGTCTGAAATGTGCGATACTAAATCGGGCATCATGGTGAACTGCTTGCCGCAAGGTTTCCGTTTCCCTTGCACCGGGTTCTGATCTATCCAAAGGCAAGTTAGAATTTGATTTGTGGGATGTTTCATCAATGGAAGGTGATACATTCCCGGTCCGGTTGGCCCTCCATACCCTGGTGGACCATGATCCAAGAAAGGACTGCCGAGGCCACCTTGCGCAAACCGATCGGTTCGAGAGTAAAATTCTCCTCGATATCTGAGCTGATTGTTGAGTACAGGAGGCATTCCATGGTGTGGAGAGGTTGCCTCGTGCCCTGATGTAAGTGCTCCGTAGTGTATATGTGGATTGCTCGTGACATCTAAGCCTTTATGCGTCACTGCGTGATGGTAGTTTATGTTGTTTCCGTGAATTGCAGCGGTTGGTGGCGAACTGAACATGTTGTGCCTATGTGAGTAATTGGGTGTGTTGGAAGCGATGGGGTCGTGAAGAGCAAGCGAGTGAGAACTCGCTAGGTTGGCTGATCCTAAGTGCGAGTCCTGGTGATGGATAAACTCATGAGGTGGGAATCCTTGAGAAGAAACATGACGGTACGCAGGAAACGAGTGGTACAGAGTCTGCTGCGAAGACATCCCGTGCGGTTTTTGATCGAAAGCGACAGCTTCTGCTTGTGCCCTGTGTGCCGCAGCAAATCTGATCGACGAAAGATGGCTCCCTGAGTCCAGCAAGTGATTCATTCCTAACGGCGGCTCCTTCTTGTGTTCGTTATAGCCCGCGTTCGAGTTGGTTGGCAAGTTGTTCGCAGACGAGGACCGAAGAGCTGCACCCTCAAACGGTAATGAGTAACGTTTGGCGAAGCCACCGTCCATTTCAAGGTTTCCCCGGGTTTTGAATATGGAACAGCTCTAGGCAAGTATAAATAATAACGCGGCAAACTATTATTAAAGAGAGACTACGCGAAAGTTTTGAGTGTAGTAGCATATGTTACACCGTTAAAACACAGCGTGAGACTCTGATGACAATTGTCCTGCTAAGAAAGCACGCATGAGCAGTAAAATGATCCCGGTGAATATTATGATTAGTCGTCCCCCGCGGAGCTGTGGTTATGTTCCTAATTGTTTGATAGCTTCTGAAAACAACACTATATTTGGCATTCCTTTTCTTATTGACTAACACAGAGTACAAACCATTTCATCAGCTTTTAGTGTCCGATCACACGCAAGATAACAGTATTTCCTCAAGACTATCGCGTGCTTTCCCTGGCAATTTCACGCTTGTTCCCTCCTATTTTTTCGTAGAGTATGACAAATGCATGTTGTTGTTCAGTAACAGCTACTTCGCAGGTGAGGCTGCCGTGATAGACATATAGGGAGGGACACAATTTGAAAAGCGCAGCAGGAAAGAATAAACACCTTGAAGCGGTGTCACTCAACGTAGCTATTGCTGAGCTTCTTGTTGAAAGTTCCCCTTGAAATTTTCAAAGGGCGCCCCCAACTTCAGGATTTTTCTTAACATAACGGGATTTGAAGTGAATGAGAAGATTCGCGCAGAACGTCTTTGCGCTCTATCTGCAATGTTTGCCGCGATAAATTTATTAACACCCCGAGAGACACAATACTATTGACAAAAATCGCCGGGAGTCGCCACAGTTTGGCTTTACTTTGCAAGCGACATGCGATTCTCGCCAATTCATCATTCAATTGTCCGCGGAGTCCTCAAGCGGGCCGTGCGGGGAAGGCTAATCATATTCCATAGCTCACGATACTTATATTTTGCTTTTAAACGGCGGATGCTCTCAGCCACTATAAAAAAGTCATTTATAAAAATGTCAGATGTTATCTTTAAGGCCTTATTTGTGAGAATAATGCGTCAATAGACATGTTAAGTGCTCCCGATCGTCTACTATTAAACAGGGTTAAGCTTCAAAAAAGCGTGAAAACTTGAATTTCATTTAGACGAGTTTAATTAAGGCCCGCACTAAAGTGACTACCACTGCTAAGCATAATTCATGCCCGGTAAGCCATTGTTTTTTTCAGTTTGAACCGTGGTGAAGCAAGAGTGTTTATAGAACTCATGAAGGACATGAAATAGTTTGTATAAATAGCTTCACTGCGCGGGGCGCACCCCTTTCGTGGCTTCTTTAATTGAATGTATTCACTCTCACTGTCTGACTAATTTCCGCGGTTTTCAAGGAAAGCAGCGAACGAAGCCAAGCTGCAGATTAGTTTTAAACGAAAAAAAGACAATTTCTCCTATTCCCCGCCATGAAGGAGGTAATTATTACTGCGCCTTATTGAATTTTAAGTGGCAATTCACAATTTGACAGGGGCTGAGTCAATAAGTATGCGCCGCAGTCAGAATTGGTCCAAAAAGTTCCATTATGAGGATTGTAATATGTTTTTGAGCTCTGCTGCCGCATAAAAGAAATTGGTTTTGAAAAAAATAAATAAATAGGGACAGCTTTAATGCTCGAGGGTATTTTTCTGCGACATGATGCGATGTTGTAATATACCAGGTCATTTTCTTTGTAAACAAACTTCAAACCGGTAACCTTGCTCGATCAAAAGATATTTCATTTTTCCTCGATCATTAATTGTGGTGATATCAATCATATTGAGTAAAAGAACAACACAACCGCTCGGTCTTATATTCGTATGAAATATTTCCCTTATCGCATGTCCGGTTTTATTAGATTAGTTATCTCCTGGTTGATATTTTTGAGATTTGCAGCCTATTTAGGTTTTCTTTTTTGAATAGAGACAGTTAATATCTTTTGCATGTTTTACAGCCAGTTTATTTCTCAGGCCAACAGACGTATCCACCTGCTTGTGTTTACATCTCCAATATCACTCAGCTGTACCAATTATTTTGCCTAACCTTCATGAAATAAATCAAACCGATGATTGTACTCCTTGCCTCGAAAATTCGATTGGCCTTGCGATTTCGAGAGTGTCGTGACGTTTGCGGGAAGAAGTCCTGTTGCCACTGTCTTGGACTGAACTTCAGTTTTAATGATTAACCTCAAGGAAGCTGGAGTTATCGGTCGACTTTTTATCTTACAACTTATTTTGTGTATATTTATATTCATATTTCCTATGTATCCGGTTTGATCGTCCGGCGCTTGAGAAGTTAAAATTCTTTTTTAATAAACTGCACCGTGGTGGAGTTTGTTTTAATCACACCATACATACCATGAACCAAGAAATTAAGAATGGGAGCATGGTGATCTAAAGAGAGGAGAAAGTGCTCAAAATTAACCACAACAATTCTTCACTTGAATATTCCTTAAGCAGGGTAAAATGTAAGGACGAAAAAAAAAATAAAAGGAGACAACCAACAACTGCGTTATATTTGCCTTGAGATCATGATATCCATATAACGCTTTGGACATTTTAATTTTTTTTAATCTTTTGAGAAAGCTGCTCTTTAACGTTGAGTTTATTTACGCCATCTATAGTGCCTTATTTCGATATATTTGCATATAAGTACTCGCCTACAGCTAAAAAACCTTATTACCAAACGTCGCCCTTGGAGAAATCAGCCCAACATAGCAATTATAAAAAGTTCTTGCGAAATCACTTTGTCTCCCATATTTAATTTTCTTTGACCGTCAAAATCATTCCCTAGAATGAGATTAGGACAAACATAGGCTTTTCTCTGTTTTTTTCTTACCATCTTGCCTGTTGAGTTCTATCGAAAAATTGAAAAATCATCGAAATGTATTCAGATTTGCCTCATAATCCCTAGTCTAGATAGGACAAATATTTTGATGTTTAATTGTAGTTTTGGGAATTCCCATAAAAGGAGACAAAGGTCTTTCTCTTTTTATTCACACCTTTGTGAATTAACTTTTGTTGTAAGATGAAGTGCATTATTTAAAATTTACATCTGAAGTCATGAAAAATAACTTAAAGTTTAGATTGCTAAAAAAAAATTGAACGAATGCCTTTTATAGCTATATTTTACTCTTCCTTTCGCCAAGACAGAATAAAAGAAAGGTTACAAGTGAATATTGATCCACCTGCAAAATTAGTACGTACGTTTACTTTTCCGTGGAATATATTTCTTAAAGGCTCAAGGGGCAATTCATGCATGACAAATAAAACAATATTTCAGTGATCTATCCTTTATATACCATCTAGGTGTTCAAGCTACATTTGCTTCGAGGAATTGCATCGTAACGGGAAGTTTTATACCCCAGAAATACTCTTCCTAGCGAGAGATTTAAAGGATTTACCATACTTTTAAATCAACTGTTTCTGAATCCTTTTGAGAATAAGTAAAACCCCACTGACATAAGCGTGCACTGATTGTGCTAAAATGGCTCCCACTTTGAAGCATAATGCCAGATTGTTCGTTCAAAGTAAGCTTAAAATTAATTTTGTTTCCTTTTGTCGTTTTTCTTCGTCGTCACAAGTCGCCTCCACTGTGCATTCAAGCTGTCAAATAAACTTTTGCGGTGGACTTGGCGGGAGGATTTTGCTTATTTACTTATTAAGCCTCTTTTAACAAGCATATTTCTAGGGCACGCGACGTGTTGTAACGGATTCCCTTTGTGAACATCTTTGTCCAACTGTGGACAACTGTGGCCTCATGCAAAGATCAAGTCGAGGTCCCGTGTTCTATTAGAATTATTGTTTCTTTTTAGTTCTGATTCAATGTTCTCTCGCTTTATTAACAGTTTACCCCACATGAATGATATTTGAAGCACGGCTAACAACGTTTTAGATGATCGGGAAATTTTCCACCAGCTATGCAAACCTCGTTTTATATCTGGTTTTAAAGCTTTTATGATAAATATGTCAGAAATCTTGTTTTCGATATTTTTCGCTGCTGGAGTTTCTTGAAGATCGGTTCTCTGGGTCAGATGATTGAATTCTTAGCACGGTTTTAGCAGCATAAAAAATGCTTAGAATTAAACTTAACATCGAAATCCAGGAAATCTCAGTAGTATGATTACCATATTCTTCTCATGGACTCTCAACAAGACTTAAGATTTTTACAAGAGTGTTTAATTTTTTGTTAAACTTGTTATGGTTACGGGTCAGAATGCCGCTTTTATTGTGTTCAAAACAAACTGATTGGTAGGCCAACCTTTTCTCAGTCTGGCGTAATTAACTTTTTGGGCTCTTCGAGAAAATTCCCATATCGGGAAGCCTTAGAAAGGCTCATTGAAGTTTTTGTTTATGATGCGTAGAGAAGATCGCAGGAAACGCAAAATGATTAAAAAATGATGCTTCAGCCGCAAGCTGCCACAAGCTCGAATTTTCATGAAACCACCGGAAACTGGTAATAAATTACTTCCGAGAAATTTCCTTTTGCCTCGATCGTGTTTACGTCGAAGCGTTGTGTGATGAGGCCATTAATGAAAGATAAAAATAGAGTTTGAGATAATTTGGATACAACGAATTGACAAATTGGATTGTAGTTTGAACGTTTTGCATGAGTAGTTCCTTTGTAGCGACTCAGAGGCACCTGTGTTTCAAATGGCCAGGCGCCGCTCTATCTGTCAACCTCACTGAACAGTTCATTTGCCCAGAGGGTACTTCCGAACAAGTGCAAGCTATTGGCTGTCAAATAGGAAATTTTTAGTCCAATTTTGTATCTACAAAGACTTTCTTAACACTGCACTAAGTAATTAAGCTTCTATACAGAGCACATTTTTCAAGAAACTGGCTGATTGCCAAGTCACAATCGCGTTGAAAAATAGTCTATTAGCAACTAAAACTGACGGAAATTTGAGTTCATGGACAAAAAACACAGATGTAATTGTGAGCGAGCACAAATGATTCTTCATCGATGCCGGGGCAAAGTCATTGCAAAGACAATTATTTCGAACAGACTGCATATTCACTGCTCCTTTGGTCGAGAGAAGGTTATTTAAACGAAAGCTCCATGTCTTTTTTTTATGAAACCAGAAAGCAGAATTATTCTTTTAAACGACTTCTTCTCTTTGTCTGCTTCTGTAAGCTTCACAAAAAAAGTTGATGTTAATTCATAAATTGTAGACCGACTCAAATGATGTATGAAAATAAAGCAGTGAATAGCGACATCCTGGGTTTAGCCTAGGCCTAAGAATATTTTTAGCAATAATTTTAATAATTTGCCATAGTGGAGTGGTTTACTTATCTTATTCATTGGTTAACAATACCGTCGTGTGTTAAAAACTCTATTTTAAAGTGCTTGTCAAATACCCAAGAAAAATGTTTGATTTCAATTTGGAGTATTATTTACCATAAAAATACAGTTAGAGTACAAGACAGGAAAGTTCTTTCAAAGTGAATTAAGAAACTTCAACTTTTCTTTCTTTGTTTCTTCTTCGACATGAGAATCAAACACCTTGTGGACTTCCTAAATGATTAAGTTCTTTTGGAACACCTTAAAAGACCGTCCTAAATGCTAAACCTTTATATTTAAATAAATGGCTGATAAAAGTTTTTTTGTAATTGTTCACATCTTTTGACATTTACACTGCTAGACAATAAACAAGCATTTAGCCTTCTCTTGCGGTTTGATAGCCTTTGTTAGCGCGGCCACCTCAACAGTTCAGAAACTTTTGTCTGCTGTGACAAACCGAAAGGCGGTGAGACTGTTATTTAAAAGTAAAGCAAACACTGACACATCTTATTGAGGAACATGGATTGAAAATTTACTGCGTTCTAGATGGACATTTAGCTAACTCCGTGCGCATTAAGCCAAGAACGAAAGCCCACTAAAATTTGTCACTCGCCCTAAGGGCTGATGTCTTCATCACAAAGTTAGCTCATAAGCGATAGTAGACAACTGTTGCTCGTGAGGGTGAAACGGTAATTTTGAATTAACTCCAAAATGTTTATGTCCTCAGAATCACCGAGGTACGTTTACAAGTAAAGAAGACGGCACAACTGACTTACAAGTAAGTAAGGTTAATGTGGTGCAATAAATGTATCTTGAAATTCACCGTGGACAAATGTTGGACAGTTGTTCTTTATGTTAATTAATCACGTAGATGATGCGAAACATGTTAATTTAACCTGGATTTTCTGAAAACCGAGCAAACGTTTCACTGCTTGTTCTTGATAAGGCATGAGATAGGTTCAAGCTACTTCCTCGCTGCTCCATTTGATCGCTCTGTGTCAATTGTTGCCCGCAGAGGAAGCGGAGATCTTTTAAGTATTTATGAAAAATTATCTCTGAAGAGGGCCTGACACAGGCTTGAGTAGTAATCAAGAACTGTCGGTGTTCGTCGAAAGCCAGACCATTATGTTCCAAATAGAGGAATGCGGTTAAATACTCCACCAACTTCCTCGTTATACTTCACGTTGACGGTATCAAAATTGTTATAATCTTTCCTTAAGTTTGCTATTTTCTTCCGTTCCTATCTTTTGGAAGACAGTTTTATCAGTAAGGGTGAGAATTATTAATATTTGTATGAAAAAAAAATTGTTTGATTTGCTTCTGTCTCCTTTTAAAACTAACACCACCTCTATCGCGGTTTTCCTGGAGTAGGAAACGAATATTTCAACATATTCTTTCATGATAGTTACTGCTGGACACATAGCAGACAATGTGCACCATCAACTTTACCTTTCAGTTTGATAGAACCGTAGTACGATGGTATGACATTAAATTTGACTGTGTATTTCGTTAATTAACACGGTGTACTGTGGGGAGGTTTACTTGTTCTTCACGATGAAACTGTTCTGATTTCGCTCTGGATTAAAATAGATTGTCCTGCTGCAACAGATCGTTTGAAAAACACTAGCTGTTTGCTGCGCCAAAATCAGCATTGGTCAACCACTGAAATTAACAAAAAAAACGAGACGTTGAATAAAATATTCAAACAATTTTTTTATGATATCTATTAAAGAGAGAGTGAATCTGAAGAAAATCGGTTAATGAGTATGATAGATAAAACCCTTAAGAGAGGGAAACAAAGGTTAACGCAACATGATCAAGAATTAGATTTCCACGACATTGCGACTACTATGCATTTGTCGTAAACAAGTGAACGACACAACTTCCCATTTTTAGTCCAGTGGGAAGTGTGGTAAACTGAGGACTATTTGAAAAACAGAGTGGATCGGTTTAAAGCGTAAACAAAATAGTTTCATGGCTTGTGTAGGTGGTTAGTGGTGTAATCGTCACACTCTCCGTGTGATCTCAGTCATATTTCAAAACTTTTGTAAGAAAACATCTTCACGATAAGACTTTCCTTTTTTGAATTGTCAAATTCATATAAGTAAAAATAGCCGACGGATTCTTATTTAACACTTAACATACTCAAAGTATTAAGAAAATGCACTCCTACTTAGCTTCTCGTAAAACCGAAATTCATTTTCACGTAAAGTCCTTTGTAAGAAATCTATTTCCTCTCCTTTCTAAACCATTAAAGTCGCATGCCAAACATGCTCACCAGGCTACACTTTTCGCGCAAGTTGATTCGAAGGTGGCTTAGCTTGAATGCCGGCTCATGAACTTACAACACTCGGTTTAAATATGACATTTGAGTTTTCTTCGTAATCTGTTAGACTCAACAGAGTGGTTTTGTCTTGGAAATATTGGTTTGTTCGCTACTCTTTTCGGGTTCACCAGCAGGTGGCATAGACAGCTCGTCTCTGCTCGTGCGGTGTTTCGTTAAGAGTATTCTCAACTCACGCCGTGAGATTCAACATTTTCTTCTCTCATTTTTATTAAATAGTTTCTTCGAAAGATTCGATTCTTCGTGATTAAAAAGGATGAATAACATGAAAAGTAAAAACAAATATCAAAATTTAATCTACTCTTGAAGGCCTTCGCAGCTTCGGCGTTTATGATCTCTCGATCATCTTTTGTTCAAATTATACCTCCCTCGTATTACAAATAGCGCGTCGGAGAGTTTTCTTTTTGTATGCTCAAAAACGATTTCATTTTGTTTATCCCGTAAAGTTTATTACCATCAGAATCTCAGAGAAGTTTGGTGTTTCTTTTTGTTTGTGGAGAATAGCAGCGCCACTTGTCTGCTATGGTGAAAACGCTCCCATCAAGCATCCCTGCTGTGCTTGCAGTTTATTCTAAACCTACGCCTTTATAAACTCGTACGAAAGAGAAGCCGAAGGGAGCCCTTTGCTCTTTTTTGTTTAGCTGACAGCAAAGTACGTTTGAGAAAGAAAGAGAGAGAGAGAGAGAGAGAGCGATGAGAGGCAATTTTGGGCTAGTGTAAGTGAATTTGTCCATACCTTTAAACTGTTCGATTCATTGACAGAGTATTTCTTTATATCCCCTTCGCGTTGACAAAGAATTTTATTAGTTTTGAGTAAACCTTTATTAAAAGAGGACAGGCAACTTTGGGATATTGAGCCAGTGTAAGTGAATTTGTTCAACACATTCACTAAGGACAAAGACAATGACAAACTGCGTTTCATTTCCACCTTAGTTTGACAAAAAAATTATATCACTTTTTAATCTACCTTTACGCCCGAAAAGAGGCCGCAAGATTGGATTTTCGATATCTTTTTTTCCATTTTTTACAGTTCCTCTCCGCATTAATCAACCGTGTTCCATGACATCAAGAACATCAAGTATACGAAAATTCTTTCCTTTCTTACTTGGAGCGTTTAATTGAAAGGTGAAGTTCCATAGTGAAATCACCTGTGGAAGGTGTTGCCAATATTTTGTCTCTTGCGTTGTGTAATATTGCGTTTTGAGTCCTTCACTTTCTTTTTTTCCATTTCTCGTTTTTTTATTTGCATAAACGTTCCACTGTAAACTTGAAAATGCCTCCAAGAAATTCACAGGGAATTAAATTTGCTCGGCATTTCAAGAGCATCATATTAGTTCAGAATTTTAGCTGGTATTTTAACTCATTTCTGATTCTTAAATGATTTGATGCAGTAAATGCCACAGGATTCTCAGAAAACAGTGGTGGTTGCAGCTAAATTCCCCCAGCAACATTACTTTTAGGCAAAATTTCGTTCATTTAGCTTATCAAGGGACTACACCGATCAGGATTTTCCCTCACCTTTAGTTATTTTTATTTAATTCGCAACATTGATGTTCTAAACGGAGAATACTCTCACTTGAACTTTGCGATGTTCTGAATGACACTTGAATGAATGAATTGTGAATAAAAGTCATGGTATTGCAAGTGTCTTAACATTGTAGTGCTTTGGAGGGGGCGGGAATTGATAAGAAATCTCGGTAGTAGTATATGGAAAATGAGAAATCGATGATAACACTGCACCACTAACTTAAAGGTTGCGTCTTGGTTGCAGCAGTGGACTCGCTTACTCAAAATTAGATTGATATTCTTCTTGCGTTGAATTTGATGGTTATTTCTCTCTAGCAATGTTATTCAAATCCCGATCTTGATGTAATGCAAACGCTTGAAAGGCTCTGATGTGAAATATTTTGTCAAATAAACACGCTGGCTGCGAGATAGTGTGCTCTGTTAAAGTGGACTGTACTATTTCACGTACTATTCTTATTACCGATCACCTTGCCCCAAGGTAATCATTAAGTTACTTGTTCTCTAAAATAAACGAGAATAAGCTTCCAGAGCATTCACGTTCATAATGAGTGGTCGCCTTGAACATATTTGCGGTATACCGCTCTGGAGTTTTTCAAAGATTCTTTGTAAAACAAATTATGTAGATCATGGAACTTTTTGGTAAAGATTGAGAGGCTTATAATTACATGATCAAAAGCGTAAAGAGGACAATTTGGCAGTATTTTGGGACGTTATCAAACTAGGGAAAGTTATGTGATCGCAAAATAAGTGTATTCTGTCAATGTTCCGCCTATCTCTTTTACTTAAACACCTATGGCCTTCAGAAAATTGTTTTGATTTTTTTTTATCTTTAATAGATGTCTTCTTAACCGTTAACCGACTCGTATTTGGTTCCTCTGTAATACCTGCACATACTTCCTTGTTCTCTTCTTTATTCTCTCAATAAATTCTACCAATTTTTCCAACGTTACCTATAAAAGAACCTCTTTTCCGAAGTACTTGATTCAGTGGACTCAAAAGGTAATTTTTTTTAATCTCAATTTAAACCCTTGGAGGCAAAAGTACACTTTAATATAATGTAAACACGACGAGATAGTATCCTTAAAGACGCATTTTAAGGTTTTGATATAGTGTTTAGCGAATAAGTAGGCATTTTTTAAAGTCTGATATAGTGTTTTGATGTTTAGATGTAATCATATTTCATTTATCACTTGTTTCCTTGAGAATAGCTCGGAGAGAAAATCGGTTTCGTTAAACGCAGCAGCAGTCGATGAATCCCATGTCAACCTCACGAGCAGGTGCTCGGTTACGAACGAAATTTGTTTAATACAAGTAATACCTACAGGTCGAAGAGAACAATATCTATTATCATAGGGCGATAATAAAGAAGGTTAAAAATACGACAATGTTTGCATCGCTACCCAACGGTATTTTCAATAACCAGACGTATGTTGGTAAAGTGTTCTTTAGAGCTTTATTCTCGTGGCCTTTGTTCACGCGTATTTAATTTAGGGTAAGATATGATTTTAGCAGGTGCTCGGCAGTGAAATTGATCTACATGAACAGAAAGCCTTACTTTTTTTTATTACTTGACACTCCAGGTGATCCAAGAAAGGGTTTCTTTTATGTTCTGTCTTAAAGGTACACGCAGAATGAAGTAATAGAAAAAGCTCCGCTTGATTCCTGTAATAAAAGTGGCTGCGAAGTATTGGACAGGAAACCGAGGAGACGAGTGCTTTTCTAGTTAATTTAAACCTCAGTAACACACTTCTTTTCTTTCAAACTACTGATAGGGCAATTTTAATTTTATGACTTAACGTAGTTTGGGTATCGAGCATTGCGTGAAAAAAAAAAAAAAAATCGCGTGCGTTGAAATAATAAAACTCGAGCAGGTACATATCCCTAGTCGCATCCTTTCATTTTTCGTTATTGTTTGTCATTTTAAGCTATTTCTAGCGTTACCATAACTTGTTACTTTTTTATCCGAGAATCGGTGAATGAACTATAATTAATACAGGATTTTCTTTATCTTCTTCTTATGATAGAAATCAATGCTTGAAGAAAAAAAAACAGAGATTGTTCCACCAAGGCTTTTCACAGCGTCGCTGTTGTGTGCGTGTGTGTGTGTTTTTTTTTTTTTTTGGATCTTACGTTATCGTCGAAATGTATTCGTGTCAGATTTTTCATTGTCGCAAGATCAGAAAAGCGTTTCTTTTACTGTAAACTAAAACTCGCAATGAAGAGTCATTACAAAGCTCTGAGGGGTCCGTTTAATGGCTCCTCCCTCTTACCATTAGCAGAAAATTAAGAAAAGTTTTGTTTCTGTTCTCTGAATCTGTAACGATATCCTGCTGACAGCATCTTCCTTCATTTTGCCAACAGCGTGGGGGAAACAATAAACATGTTTCCCGCCGCTGTTATTCACCGCCCCACCCACATTAATTGGCGCTACCCGTACCACCTAAGACAGCCTCGCGGTCACGCTGTGTTGGTAATAGCGAAGACAATCGAAACACCACTATCCTTGAGAAGCTCTCGGTGCGTGCGCTTCACTTGGAAGGATCTCTGTTTGTGAGAGGTTTAAAGAAACAAAAAAGTAAAAGCTACTGCGGGTTTAAGCTTGGAAGTTCAGACAAACCCTTCCTGTTGTCTTAATCCCTTCAGTGCCCACTGTGTTTTTATCAAGGAGTTGTCTCTCTTCTTCATTAAAGAAAAATAAAAGCGAGCTTGACACGTCGTGTCTAGTTTATAACTCGATGGTTATATTATGTGAAAGTTCATTCTCCAAAAGCACACGAACTCTTTGAATGAAGATATTCTCTCACTCGAAAAGCGGAGAGTGATTTCTTTCTAAAACCGCATCATTGCATCATTGCATCATTGCACCTTTCCTGTCCCCAAGAACCTCCTGGACCGATAGAATGAACTCCAAGGTACTCTTTCCATGCTTGTATTTGCATACTGACAGAATACACTCATTTTTGCTATCATTTGGGTTTTACATCACGTTCCCTGCCTTTGCAACGTACCAAAATACTGCTAAAAGGCCCTAGAGATATTGGTCAGTATTATTTTGAAAAGTTCATTTGCTTTGCATGTTGTATTTGTAACTTTCATCGAGAAAGCTTAAAACCCTGAGGGTATATTAACTTGATGTAGCTTTATTGCTAAGCGTTCTTACCCCCTAGCACCGATCAGCTTTCGTCATTCACTCTTTCCAAAACCCTGGATCTTCACCGCTTAACCCCTAGCCAACATAGTTGCATGCATAGTTGGCTCTATGACATTTAACTCGCTTCATTAAGAGCGATTCTGACTAAACGTATCTCATTACTTGTAGTTTAAAGCTAAAAGCTCGTATTTACGAACGCGCAGATATGGCGGAATAATATGTCCATGCATATCGTTTTCTTCCATCGTGCCAAAAAATTACATTATCTTGGATCTTATCTTAAATGTTTTACTATCTTTTGATTGTTGGTAAAACGTGTACGATGTTTTTGGTTTTTCTAAGTGATAGCATTCTCCAGACACGTACTTTCTCGTGAAACTAAAACTCTGTTTGGTTGATTATCTCACAGTCCATGTAGTTTAACAAGATGTGTTAGGTTGTGACTAAATTTCACGGTTTGTTTAGCATTTTATAGCAAAGGATTAATGTGGAGAGTTTGTTGAACTGACACAAAGAAGAGTACAATATGCAGCATTTATCATGAGTTATTATCCTCGTTAAGTTAAATTCTCTAAGCGGAGTGGCATCCAAGTTCGTGCCAAACAAATGTCCCTGTTAAGGTTTCCCTAGGCCAGTCTCCTTGTTCGAAAACTGGCAAACAAGTTTTCAAAGGAAGAGACTAATTCTTATGGAAAAGCCTTTCATGTTTCTCCCTCTACCTTCCCTCTGACGGAGAAGTTCATGTACAGCTTCTTTTCTTTCTTACTAATGAAATGCCCGATTTATTTTCAAATTTGGGTTTGACAAAGGAGGGGATGACCATAAAGTGTGAATGACTGTGAAACCAGGAAATATTATTAATCTATGTTTTAGAACTATCAAATATGGCATGATAACGTGATCGTTTAGAGAAATTCTTATGAGATAGTACAGAGGGGCAGTTGATGTATGGGTGGCCACTAACAGCTCTAACAGATATTATCAGAGCGCCTTAGTTACTTAACTTTTTCATAATTTAATTCTATGTCAAGGCCAAGACGGTTTGAGCCTCCCTTTAAAATCGATACTTCAGTAAAAACAACCTTTGCTATTTCCCTCTTTACTTCAAAGTAAATCCTATCAAGTTTACTTAACCGTATATTCTGAAAAAGGTATCATTTCTGGATAAAAATGATTCCGTCGAGACTCCACCGTTGTATTATTTTACAGCAAACTTTGAATAACAATATTTGGAAAATTTTTACGAGAGGAGCCTATAAAAACTTCAAGGAATAACTGGAAAGAAACATAAGTCTCTTCTTGGCTAAAGTTATTGAAATATAGGTTCGCAGCTCTGCAGACATTTCAATAGTAACACAAAATGGCAACACCAACTCCATGTTTTTTTTTTTTTTGTGAAAGCATTTCCCATGAAATAGTACAGATGCTTTTAATCGAAATTTTCCAAACGTATTATTGCTATATTTATTTATTGTGTGCATCTCTCTTTTTTTCTGACTGTTACAACGATTTTTTCAACGTTTCTCTCTCTTTGCTTAACCCCCCACTCTTAACCGAGAATTCACTCACTCTTATTTCGATGTTTATTTTTATTTCCACTCTGCGAAATTTCATAAATAGGAGCTTAAAAGAACATGTACCGTATGTGTATGACTGTGCGTACACTTAAACGACAGATCCTTTTTTCGCTGGTTTTTAACTTATCAAAAGTTTTAAGAAATTGGGGCTCCGGTTTATGTTACGACTCCTCACGATCGAGTCGTCATCGAATAAGCTGTTGGGCTGAAGGGATCTTGTTGTCGTTGTTGTTAAGCTATTTCCTTTGTGGCAATGTTTAAGACTTTTCTGGTAAAGTATATCTTACAAAGAGTGTTCGCAGGTCATTTTTGTCCAGTTATAGTGCTAAGGGCTAATAGCACGAAAAACAACCTTTCTATTCATGGTTCCATAAAAGATTCAAATGTACCTAACGCTTCAAATTAAGAATTTTTTTTCTCCTCGTTCTCAGTTCTAGAGAACGAGCGAAAAAAGGTCAATAACACAATCGTTCGAGTGGACGAAATTAGTATTAAGTTGCTGTTGGTGTGATGTCTTTTTTGAAATATTTTTACCGAGCACTGGTTCGTACTGCGATGTAGAATCTAACGGGCAAAATTGTACAACTCTTTTTTTATTACGATGTTTGTAAGATAATGGATGGATGATACTGTAGCAGAGACAAAATTTGTGGTGCTTTTAATATAGAACTGACCCATTACTTATAATCCAGTCGTTCCAAAAGAGAGGTATGAGTTATGAAAATTATATTTTTAGGGAACGTACACTTAGTACGAGAATAAGGTTACCATGGTAAAATAACATTCATCATGATATACGGCGGCTGGACATAACTGGAAGTTCACCAATGCCAGAAAATCTCCCACAGACTTCGGAGTGTCCCACGTTCGATTAGAAAGATTTTCATGTCCTAAATAACTACTATTGGCTCATTTTATTGGTCTATTTATCTGTCTGCTTTCCAAGAGAAAATGATATCGAGACCTTTCCCATGTGAGGCCTTACTGATTTATACTAAACCTACTCCATCTCGGAATTATCCTCTAAACTTTATCAGCCTTTTACTCTGCCAAGTGATATTATTGTATCCTCTTCGGAATTTTTTTCCTGGCTTAACAACCACCCCATTTGAGGCCTTAGAAATTTGCTAGGAGTGACTATAATTAGCCTCTGATGCGATACTCCGTCATTTTAACAAACCGCTATTCTTAATTTTTTTTGCTTCTGAGTGCAGGATGTCGTATATTATATAGTGCAGTATTCATTGTTAAGTCATTGAGCGTTTAGGGAAAATGAACTCGTATCTTTTTTATTCCAGACACCATCAAAAGTACTTCCTTGAGATGCAACTTGTTGTTTCCGCGGCCTCCTTTCTGTGGTTCTGCTGCACAGGAAATCTTAAACATACTGGAAAAAGTAAAACATCGTACCCATCCAATTTTTGATAGACGATAATAAAAGTAATAAGCAGAAGAGGAGAGGTTAGGCTGGTCTTGATATCAGTAATTCCTGTGCACTTTTGCATTTGTTTAAAATATATTCTCAATCCTTGCCTATCTTTAAAATAAGAAGGGTAAACAAATTCACTTCTCCTTAAAATAATTTTCCTTTTCTTTGCTTTTTTTTTCCGCTTATTTCGGTTAGAAAATTATCAACTCAAACTCATTCAAGGAAGCCTAAACTATTAAACTTAAAGGAATGCAATTCCCTCTTTTCTCCGTCTCCCTTTTTTTTAAGGGTATATCAATGCAATCACGATTTTGTAAGTAGTTTCGATACTCTGTGTTGTCTGGTTCGTAATAATTTGACAAGATTGTATTTTTTGGGGAAATATCTCAGACCTATGGAATTCCTATGCAACGAGAATTACAGTTTTATAAGCAGTGCACATTGCATGCACATGTCAATTCAAACGGACGATATAGTAAGGCGATGTTCATTTTGCTTTGTTTTGGTGGTATTGCTAGCGCATTTTCAACGCAAGTCTCTTTTCCTTATGTATGATATGAAATCAATTAATTTGTCACGTGACATATTGCAATATGCAGCGATACGTCTGTCATTATTGACCGCTAGCAATATTGCAGCGGTGCGCCCCTCCATGCTGAACTTTTGAATGATATCGTGACGATGTGCGCGTCGTTGGCTAACTATCTAAGCATGTAACTAGCAGTGTAAATGGCTTTGTTACCTTGATTTATGATATTGCATCTATGTGCATGCTCTCACGTGGTCTTATTCGCGGTATTCACCAGCTATTCAGGTTGCACCATTTGTGATTCCTGCGAGTGGATGATATTGCAGCAACATGCACGCCCGTTATTGCACTATTAGTTACCAATGTCACAACGCAAGTCTCTTTTTCTTTGCTAGATGCTGTTACAACAGTGCTCATGTCTTTTCCCCACTGATAGCGCATGTCATGAGCTAACTGTGAAATGATAGTGTTGCAGTTAACCTCGGGTGACATTGCAGCAACGACGAGAATTTCTGCACTACGTAGTGGCTTGTCATAACACCATTTCAGATCTCCTATATCTTCTTTTGATTATACGACACCAGCTTGCGTGCCATTTCAGGCACTGGTATTCCATGTACAAGTCTGATACTCTGTTTAAGGATGTCTCGATTCCTTCCATACATCTGTTACGCCGTTAGGCAACTCCAGAAAATACTACTCTTTAATTTGCAGTTTTGTCGACACTTTCTGTAAGCTCCAAAGGTCTGTTGATCTTGACTGGTAATAGAAGTGCTGAGTATAAGTTAAGATATTTTTCAGTCGCGTAGGGTTAGGGTTCCCTTGTGAGACTTAGTGATATCCTAAATTCCAGTATTTCATTTTAACGAAAGAGACCTGAATTATTCTCTCTCAGTTTGGCTGGGCTTACTTATCGAAGAGAGAGAAAAGTCGTATCAGGCTTGCATGAGGGGCCACCTAATAGGTCGTCCATAAAGCAGAGTAATTCGCGGCTCTTTGTTCTTCAGTATTAGCGTGCTATTTGGCTATTGATATGCGATTGCGCTTTTGGTATCATTTGAAAGTTAATCTTCAGTACTGCTGTCGCAGTTTGTGACAACCTCTCAGCCTCATATTATGAGTTGACTCTTGTGCAGAGAAACCTCCGATGCTTTGCCACCGAGCTATAACTGAAGCAACTATGTTTTGAGGTAGGACATTACTTTCATCATGTGTGATGTAATAATGACTCAGCTTATCATCAAATTTAGCTTAGTGGTAGAGCATTGGAGAACGGAATCCGGGTCTCAATTCCTAATGGGTGACTCAAAATAAATAATGATCCCTTTGTCTCTTCACTTCTGCTCAACATGCCTTAAAATAGGGAGTGTGGTCCTATACAAGCCGAGTGTGTTTCTTTGTGTTTTTTTTCTCTATACTTAAACATGGACGAAGTTCCCTCATTCCCTTCTCCCATCCCCCATCCCCCATCCCCCTTTTGGATGAGGCTAAAATATCAATTGAACCTTTTTAGATGGATGTGAAGGAGGAAGATGATACAGATAAACAGACATTAAGATGGTGACACAGAAGATTTTCCCCTGCTTTGGTGAGACCTAGCATGGCCGACACAGCATTGCACTGCTGCCCCCTCCCTTTCCCATCTGCGCATGCGCGAGATACAGGCTAAAGACTACGAAGGTGTTCTTGTATCATCTGTCAGTTTCTCTGCTAGTTGGTAGAGCCAGAAACACTGAAAACGTTTGCACTGTTAGTCCATTAGTGAAAAAAAAAAAAATCCTACTATGCTCTTTCAGTTTTTTTGGACCTGCGTAATTCTCGCCACGAATCGAACAGATTAGAAATTCAGTGCCATATGTTCTTTTTACACGAATTGAGATGATAACGACCATGTGTATGGCCCCTATAGAGAAGATACTCAATCAAAGATTGTCCACTTCACTACAGGTTACCAACTGATTTAAATTATCTCAATCCGGTCTAATTAATTTTTTAGCTTTCTTACATAAGGTGACCTGAATGTGACCTAAAGACTATCGAGTAATTTGTTTCGTCTTGATCAAGATCATGCTCCGTTTCTTGATTTATGAAGCATATCTTAAAGAGATTATAGTAATAAGAAATGTTACTAGTTTCGATTCTTGGCGTGGATAAAAATTTGAACTGAAATGAACTGAATTGAAGTTGAAGCATCTGGTCAAATCAGAGATAAAAAATGGGTAATAGACCCATGATTACTGTCACAAATATAGACTACAGCCTTTGATTAATTGTCCGTAGACAACATATTGATCGAATCTAAAGCCTCTTTTTGAATATATGACTGGCAGATTTTCTTTGGAAGCTTTCTGCTAAACCCAGGCTCCTTGGTTTTACTTATTTATTTTTTTTCTCAGATCTTGATTTGAAGCCAGCTGTGATGTATTCCATGTGACAATTGTTATCAATTCAAAAGCTTCGTGGAGGTTTCAATCCGTTTTGAACACAGGGTGCCCATTGTTCAGTCTGTGTCTTGCAACCGAAGAGCGATTCTTTTTAAAATCTAAAATTGGATGCAAAACGTGAGCAAACTTCTTTTCGGTCCTTCGGCTTACATTCGGCTCAAGTACTATGTTTTAGATGTACGTCCTGCAATTTTGAGTTTTCATTTCTTACTCTCATAAGAGTTTTCGTTCTGAAGGCGACACAATCATATAATAATGTTTCGTGACTCTGATAAGTCGTTACGGAAATTCCAAAAGTGCAATAATAGCTTAATTTTTTTAGGAACCTCGTGCTGTTGTAACTAATGAAATTGAACAACGTTGCTTTTCATGAGCAAGACTTTCATCAGAATAAAACACCGGCTCTTTATCTCTTCGTTTAAATTTGATTTACGTCGCTTTCGTCTTTTAATGCGCCAGTAGTATTTCCCTGAGGAAAAAAATTAACACCTTTCTTCGTTTGCAATAAATTCCTGACTCTTTTTGCCACGTAGTATCGATGGATTTATCTTTGGATGAATATTTCTGGTAGAAAATATCTGATAAGAACTCAGACATGCCTCCTGGCACTCAGGGTTCGTGTTATCCAAGTTTCTTCTGCGTTTAGCCGACACTTATGTTTTACAAACACTCATTACATACCAAAGAGTGTCATTTCTGAGGGGAATTTTCTTGATTCAACTTGTTTTGTTTTTTATTCCTCTTTTTTTAGAGGCAGAAGCAAATAGACTGTTTACATATCCTCAATCTTCTTTTGCTTCTGAAATCTTCTGAAAATCAGTTCGTGATTTTGATTTCCTTTCTGCAACCGCTACTTATGGTTCGAATTTACCTCTGGTGGAAGCTTTCAAAAAGTTGACATAAAAGCATGGGAAAAAATACCTCCCTGATCTGGAGAAATATAAAGCTATTTCTGTTCCACATGAATAAGCCTTTCTGTTTCTAGCTCTTTCCTTTTGAAAGAATTCAATGGGAACGTCTTGCAGCGAGGAAGCACGTTTCCTGATAATCGCTTAAAAGTAAGATCCATCTTTTGCATCCTGAGATCTGAAGGTATCAGGGTCTCTCGAGGAATATTGACGATAATTCATAGGTAGTGAAATATTTACAGATATTCGTTCGATATTCGCTTCCCACGTCTATATGACAGGTACCGCCGTGTATTGACTTACTCTGCTTAGACACCATATGAGGCAAAATTCAACATGTGTTAAACCGAGCTGGGAAGCATTCCCTCCCACAGAAACTTAAGGAAAAATAAAGGGGTTTAGCTGTCAGAAGCTTCGTTAGTAGCCGGTAGCGCTCAAACAGAGAGCTTACTGGCGAGAGTAGCGAAAAAAATGATTGTGTGTGTGTGTGTTGTAGGACGGGAGAGCTATCTTTTAGCTTATCGTTCGAAGGCTTGACGTTTGAGGTAAGCGTAAGATTAGGCAATAAGTGTTTTCAGAGGAAACTCTGATTTGGTTATAATTGTACTGAAAGGGAAAGAATGTAATGTGTTTGTCAGGGCGTCATTTCTATAATTTCAGACAGAAATATTTAGCTCAACCAAGCAGCTCGACAAATCAATGGCTTTTTGCCCGCGTACAAGTGATTGTTTACCAGCTCAATGAAAACCATAAAGGAACAGTTTTGGAATGAAGCAGGGTTTTGTCAGAATTACAAGAATAGCATTTTTGCGTTAAAACGAAATTACATTTTGATGGGCATTTGAGCTAAAGAGAAATCTCGCACATGAAGAAAGAAAATATCGTATCGTTTTTAAAATACAAAAATGGAGCAGGTGTTTGCTTGTGGAAATTATTTTGATAAGTTAGAAGGGCGGCTTACTTCCAAATCCCAACAAAATCCTTATTTTTTCTTCGGCCTTCGTTTTCGGTTTTTAAAATACTATGAATCGTCCAAAACTAACATTTATCAATATTTTCTTTTGGTTTCCCAGAGCACACGCTAAACGCGTGGCAAACGAAGTAGGCTTACTGAAAAGTTCTCCCTACAGGACAGATTGGAAATTTCAATTTCAGAAATGCTGCCCGATTTAAAATGTGGCAAGGCCTGTTGAAGACTAGCTTTAACAACTTAATGTTATCGTAAAAGCATGTTTTTTTCTGCGGAAAAACACCAGAAAATGTATGTCCTTATTGTCATAGCAAGTAATTTCTGTAAAAGTTACGAACAAGATGCCTGTAATCATTGTTAAACAGCATTAATTGTTTGGCTGAGATTTTATTTACACCAATTCATGTAAATTCCCCGCCTATTTCCCCACGAGTGTTGTCAGAGAAAATCGGTTTTCCTTTGCGGTTAAAAAAAAAACAATCGGCGAAGATCAAAACGATCGGATTTGGATTAACACGACTTTTTGACGAGATTATTTTCTTGCAACGGGTATTTAAAGAAAAGAAGGAACAGAAACAGAGAAAGAGACCCCAATCTTTATTTCAGCGGGTGAGGTGGTAGAAAGGTCTTTGTTCTAAAATTGAAACTATAAAACTGAAGCCAAAATCACTCGGTTCGTGATTATTTAATGGTTAGGGCCAGAACGTTCCGTAATTTCTCAGTGGCTACATTATAAGTCTGTTTGGAATATCGTGAAGCAAACTATACCTGTCTCACAAAAGTTATAATAAATTCATATAAATCAGCCAAAAGGTAGGGTACTACTAAGAACGCTTTCGATATTGCTGATAAGAATCCTTGCAGTTTACGAGCGCTTGTCCTGAAAACAATGAGCTTCTTAGTAAGCCTTCTTCACCAACTAATTTTCTGTAGCTCGTTTGCTTGAACATTTTATCGCGAAATGCGAAATTCTATGCTTCGAAACCCTAAGGGGTCATAGATTTTTTTCTTTGTGTCACGCCCTTGATAAATTTTCAACATCTTTCTTTGAGGGAGCAGATCTTGTGCAAATTTTTATCCTATAAGTGCAGACTATGTGATAAAAGCCTATTAGAAGGGTGACTGGAAATAAAAGGATTGGCAGCCCTGTCGTTCTTCCTGTAGTATGACTACAAAGATCCTCCATTTTATACAAATTGCTTTGGAAAATATTACGATCTGCGGGAACTGTCCTTGCCATTCATTCTTTTCTTTCTATCATCAATGAGTTTTTTAGCAGCATCTATAGAAAGAACGTAAATTATCTGTAAGGGTTGGCTTTTATCCTTATAGTACTTCCTCAGAATGAGTGGATAACGAAACTCCGTTAACAGCAATTATTTTAAGTATTTCAGTTTTAGCAGACTCATCACTAATGTCCTTTAGAGTTAAATTTTATGTAAATCGAAGATAATTGCAATACGAGCGACAAACTGGGAATGTTTGCCCATTCTTACTTAGGATGTGCTTTCTAAATTAGCAACACTTGTGCAAAAGTAATACATCTGTAAGATCCCTGATTCAAAACTTAGTCTCGGAGACTCGGGTAAATGAAACATCCTCTTAAATAATGGTAATAGTAAAGTAGTAATGCTATATTCCTTGAAAATGTACAGCTAAAATACCTCGAGCGAAACACAATGACTTCATGGTTTTCTAGTTACAGTTTTAAATGTATATCTGCCGCACATCGTTTTCTTTGCTCGGCGCTTGACATGCAAGATATATTGGCTCGAAGAGTTGGCGTTCTGTTTGCTTAATACAAATATCCATATCTTATTTTAATCAGAACCTCCTCGTAGGGATTGGAAATCATTTCATCACTATTTATGCTTGGTGGGTTTTCTCGATGATAAATAAAAGTAAATATCCTTTCCTTCTCGATAGCAATACATCTTTACTCCTTACTTCCCGATTAGAATCTTACGTAACGAACAACGGCCAAACAACCGACGAAGGAGCCTTCCTCGACGCATCAAATCTTACTGATAACTTTCTTTTCGCAAGTTGATTAAAAGCAAATGGTCTTCTGGAATTTAAGTTCACCAAGTCCACGCCCAATGACACTGAATCCACTGTTTGCTAACTTCAATTTCTTTCCGTGCCATTTCAACCAGGTGTTAAAAGTTCCTTATGGCTTTACGTGATTTACTTCAACCCAAAAGTATTCTGATGCAATTCTTATTCTTGAAAAAAACATTTTTGTCTCGGTTATTTTCAGTATTTTAAAAAAAGAATCTTAATTTTTGTGTCAGTCCCTTCAGAGTTAGTGTGGGTGCTGTAGGAATATTAGCCATCAATCTGTTTCACCATCGAAGATGGTTACTTTCGAAAGCTGTTACAATGAATTGCAGCGGATATGAAAAAGAAATGCTAAAAATTCACACGGTCAAACAGTTTTACCGAAATTTCATCTGCTCTTAAAATTAAATCTCTGGTGAGGAAAGAAAAACTGAAAATAAATGTTTAATAGACAGCAAAACTTTCTCAGAAGGAAGGATCTACAAATATTTGAAAATTTTTCAGATAGCCTTGGAAAGAAATTGTAAAGAAAATTTCACGTTTAAAAATGATGTCTAATACTGCAATTTGTAAATAATATTTGAAATGTTGAACGTACGTACATTTAAGAAGTGTGGATAAAACTATGTTGATTTACCAGACAGTCCAAGTCATGCATAACTTATACTATCCTACCAGTAAAACTGAACAGTTTGAATAAGCACTGATCGAACCTCGGTAAGTCCCTTTTTGAAGAAAAGACCACGTCCAAAATCAGAAATAATAAGTTAAGTTGGAGCGAAAACTCTCAAAATATGTTGTCAAAAGTAATTGTGTAGTTTTGGCTTGTGTCAAGGACATGTTTTAGGGCCTTGTTCTTGTGTTTATATCTCTCGGGGCGTGACGTCCGTCGACCTCTTCTGTCTAGTACTCTATGGGAATCTACAACAGGTCAAACAACACGTATTCATACAAGCACAAAAAGCAAGAGACGATATTTCGTCTTATATTTCGCGGTTGCATTAAAGTTGAGATTACCAGAGCCCAAGGCAATTATCATAAGCGTGTGTATTGTAAGTACTCGAATGCGACTGTTCAACCATGACTATTCAGGTTGTCTCACCGGTCCTTAATCTTCAAATTCTCTCATGGTTTTTTTTTTCTTTTAATTCCTCATCCGCCGTATTGGATTAGATGTTTCGATCCCTAAAACGTGGCCCTTCTGACAATGAACATTCTTTTTATGATCGGCGGAATTGGGTTAGGTTGGTTAGATCGTGTGAGTTAGATGTTTCGATCCTAAAACGTGGCCTTTCTGACAATGAACATTCTTGTTATGATCGAATTTCCTTCGAGGTAAATAAATCTCTACGACTCCAAACCTCAAATTCTAAATTTTAGGAGGTCAACAGCAAACATCTTCATAACTCTAGACGGAATCTTAATGTAAGCCGGAGCCACTCGGGTTACAGCAGTTGCAAATGTCTTACGGCTGTACTTTCAGTTTTTAAACATAGTTCATTGGCAATCCTACTATGTTCAAACAGGTTGCTTCTTGTTATTTCCGTTGTGATTTCAATGTATCGCGTTCTTTTAATCTACCTTTTTTTCTTGTGAGCTTCTCAAATTTCCCGACGCATATATTTAGGTTCAATCAGTTACGACATCTTGATATGTTTGGTTGAAATAACCCTGGGTGTTGTCTATTTCATGGCAAATTCAGTTTGATGAATTTGATATATTGCTGGACGGCATTGCCTGACCTAGAGGGTGATTACAAAAGTATAGTTGAGAGGGATCAGAGATTTATATTTTAAAAACATTGCTTTTGATACTGTTTTGGTATTTGTATATCTATACTGGATTTTATGAACCTAATTTTACATGACATCAAAATATAGATACATAGAAAGTTCCTTTCAAAGGAGTGTCTCCCCAAAAATTTACAAAGTCATATGAAGTAGAGTTGTTTTGACCAATGGAAGTAAGAAGGGAAACTCATGGACAACTGTTCTACAGCTGTTCTTGTGTTTGTAGGTACTCTCGGTACGTAATGGTACGTACGAGAAAGTACATAGGACGTGAAATTCTGCCATTTATTCAAAATAGGTTTTATTTTGATACATTCGCTATCGTTTGCACCCCCAATGTTCTCCAATGTTTGCTTAGTTTACCTTGGCTCTTCAAATTTTTTCCAAATGATGCAAGTAAATTCTTTTAAAAATGATTAAATAGGAGACATTCCTAGCTGAGCAAGTGGAAACAATTTTCGATACAATCAACACTGGAAACGCGGATTAACATTCAAATGTCCTTCACTGATTTTTTATTAAATCTCTACTTAACGAATTTTCCTGTTTCACCTCTCAACAAGTGTTTTTGAGGAATATTTTGGTTGACAACCTTTTGAACAGCAAAAATATTACTTGCACCATTGTGTGCCCACAACTTCAAATGGAAATGGTATTCATTGCTTTCCCGAAAACCCCTTAGTGACAGAAAAACACAATTATTAAGCATTCCTTGTCGAGGAATCCCTTATTTTAATTTCAGTTTTACTTTCAAGCTAAGAATTTTTTATAGTTTTAGGACTAGGGCAAAAATGAAAACGCTTCTAGATTCCGTGATCAGAGCACAAAAGATTTACAGTAAGCTGCGAGAACTGGTTTAGAATCCACGGGGAGTCACTTTTTTTTAAAGAAACATCTACTCACTTACAAGCTGTGCCCTGTTACAAAGTGGTCATATATTCCTACCTGTTTACCGACGAATAAAAATGAAACATAGCATTTAAACTGAATAAAATATTGCTTTCTGAAAGTCTCATATACAGATACATTTTGTGTGAAAAACATATTTATTCCTGTCATTCATATTTAAATTTAGGAAAAGAAATAGCGTCCAAGGTTTTATTTTGATGAAACGCTTCTTAAATATTTGTTCCTTCTTGCTGTTGGAGAAAAATCACATAACTAGCTTAGTTTCGTTTTCTTGTCTGAAGGAACTTACCCTCGAGGGCCGTTCCATTACAAGTGCTTTTGGACGGAACCTTTAATTAAGATTTATGTGTTTCTTGACAGCTAAATCGCCCTGCAGCTATTTAGAATGTAGGACAAACGTTTCTAAAATTACCGAACAATTTGCAGTTCGTAAATAGAACAAGAACGCTTTAAAATCGGGGCAATTTTATATTAGTCGATGTTTGCTGTATCTCAAACATAAATCATCCTTCGACACATTGGATAATCAAAATATAAGACTGAGCCGAATACACTGAATGTATTGAACTGCATGAAGCGAAGCAATGTTTCCCTCTGTGGCGGCAGATATTGACTGAAATATAACCAGTTTGATTTTCTTTTCAATCTAAAAATTGTACAAAACAACTTGTGTGTGATAAGCTTTACTAAATATTACTCATATACCAGAGCATCTGCCAGCAATTGGTGGGTTCATTGCCTACAACTGGCTTCGTGTTAAACCAAGGATTCCTTTACAACAAGGGGAAAACATGTCACACCGTTTCCGGCAATCTTTCATTGACATTATTCGACCTTTTTCAACTTTCAGTCGCTGGTAATGATATCCAAACCACTATTCTCGAACCTGCCCTGAATGTATGTCTTTAATTTGTCTCGGTGGAGTTTTGGGTGTTTGCAACTCCACCATGTTTTGACTGTCATCATCACAGTTTGCTTGTCCAAAGTCTAGTTTATTTTTACTGTTTTTGCATGAGAGGCAGCCATGTAAAGAAACGTTCAGTTATTATAAGAATGATGTTGGAACATTTCTCTATTTCATAGCTTACCAGAGGATTCTGAAAGTTTTTTCAGGAAAAAAAACACGCGTTTAGATTGTTTGAATATTTGATCGACCTGCTTTCGAACTTTAGAAGCATATCATTGTATAAGGCGTCATTTCATTTGGTTTTGGTTTATTTGGAAAGAAAACATAGATCGGTTTTATTAGGTAGTAAGATTTATCAATGCTAAAACTAATAAGAGCACAACATCGCCTCGCAGTTGCTTGAGTGATCAACAACACTCTTATCATAAATCATGCAAAAAATTGCGGATTCTTTGCTAATAACCTCTTGTTTACTTGGTGATCCAAAAAGCCTATAATTATCCACTTCACATGATCATAAAAATTTTTTTCGGAATTTGGTTCTCGTTTTGATTTAAACTTGATTGATTGAGGTACCTTCAAGCAGAGTTCGCTCGAGCTTTGTGCGAAATCTCTTCTCAAAGAAGAAATGGCCACGTGTGGCATATGTTCCAAAACCTTTTATAACTTGCCTCGAAGCCTATTTTCGTCAGAAAAGTGTCTAAAGACCTTCCGTTGTATTCTCACAACAGCCACATTTATGGCCTTATTACAAGTTAGCGTTAAACAGGCGTGCACAAACAGCATTTACTGGATAAGTCTTTAGCTAACTTTGTTGTATGCTCACCGGTTGAACTGACTCAACTCTACTTTAAGGTGACAGTGATTGTAACACTAGGGGAGTTCTTCCGTTTTGCCATAAACCAGTTCTACTTGGGAGAAAGAGAATTCTAGAGATCGTGCAATTTACTTCCATATTGAAACCAGATGATAGTCTAAGGTACAAGCTTAGATCAATACGAAACTATACCAGCAGTGGAATACAGGTTTATTTAATAAATAATTGTATTGTCAAAGCATTTACGTGGAAACGTCCTTTTTGTGAAAGCAGGACAGTAAGGAAAAAACTTTTTATGAGAAAAATTTCCTGAATTCTATCTTTGTATTCCTATTTGTAACTCATCAAGGACTTTTTAAAGGTTTTTTCAGGGTCGATCCATCTGACTTCACTGATTTCAAATAGCCGATGAACTCAAGCATGTCAATTGTCGGTCTTTTGCTGAACCAACGAAACTTTACCTTTAATTTCCAGTGGTTCTCATTAAAATGATCCCATCTCCTGTTACTAACACCATCTTTCATTTGTTTGTCATTTCCTGAATCGTACACAAGACCAAGGCGCGTGATGTACACATTAAACTCAGTAGCAGACGTGAACCATGGGGTTTTTCCTCCCAACGAAAGCAATCTAACTCCTGATCTTCTCAACTTTTACTAATACAATCTCTCTTCTGCAGAGTCTATTTGGGATCCCTAAAGTTTGCACCAGTTGGAAACTAACAAGCACAGGACTTTCTCTTATGAAACACGCTTCCCAGCGTGACGTGGTGGGAGGCTAGCAGCGCTGAACCACATCACGACATATTTAGACAGCCCTGCATGAATCACTTGAGTTTTGACTGCAACTAAGCCCTTAAAGAAAAGAAGGAAGGCTTTACCTACTTCCTCTATTTTATTGAAATATCTGCACGAGCAGGATATCTTAACCAGTTGAGGTTTTCCGCCTTGGTTAACGACTCTCGTAAACCAGTCGAATGATTCAGTGACGTGAGAGCATCAAGCGGTATGACCGCCTCACGATAAGATACTGGACTATTTTAAGCGCTCTTTCAAAAGCCTATTGTGTCTTTGAGTTTTGTCTTCGTTGAAAAAGCAAGTGTAAAACCGATTGATTTCCTTTGTAGAAAGATATTGCCTCAGTAATTTTACAGTGTTTGCGGTCTTTGTCCGGAGCCGCGCTTGGACGAGCTACAAAAAACATGTCGAAATTATTAGTTGCCTTTGAAAGAGCCTTTGGGCAGAAATCATGAAGATTAAAAACACTATAATAAAGAAAATCCTTTGTAGATGCCGGCTTTTCAACTGATACAAACATCTCAGTAAGAAGCTGTGAGATGGTTCCACACAGGTAATTGGCTAAAAGAAACGGAGTTGTTTTGTTAGTTTTATTTTGATGTCCTTGAGAACTAAACAAATAGCCTAATCATGGTCATTTCAATCTCAATTTTCGACAGGATGGGTGTACTTGGCATCTTAAGAGTAACAAAGATTAATTAATTATATATGCCGATCGACACAGGACGAAAGATATTGCCCCGCGTGGTTCGAGAAAAACCGTCATAGTTTTTGCCTCTTTGAACGCTGAGGTGCTGTGTTTGATAGCTAGAGTGGAAAATGGTTCTTCGTACAAAAAATTTGGGTCGAATCAAAACTTATTCTACTCAAGTGCATTCATTTTTTTCAACACTTAACGACGCTTTTCTTTACCTAATCAACGTACTTCCAAGAATTTAATTACAAAGTTCAATACAACAAACACCAGTTTCATACTTGCAAGTGAATAATTTGTTCTCTGAATTCTGAGACATAAAGGTTGTTGCGTAGGAACAGTTTTTTTTCTTTTTCACACTTTTTATGGAGAGCACAGTGAAAGGGCTGCTGAAATTCTTCAACAGCTTTTTGAGGCCTGAAAACGTACAGACTTCAGATGTGAATATCATGATCTAGTTCAGGTAGACAATCAATTTTGTGTAGAAAATAGGACAATAACCTGCCTCACAGAACGAAAGCTTTATTTTGTTTTCTCAGTTTTAAAACATGGCATTCCAAATTGAAGAAGAAAGTCCTACTTTTACAGCAATAGACACTGTATCAACGAACTATGAGTTTCGAAATGAGAAAATCAATTTGACACTGATATCAGATTCCTCCCTTTCAACTTTCTTTCCTTTTAATATACTAGACGATGTCAAATTCTAAATATGCTATTTACAGTGCTGTTTTTGAATAGGGAATATTTTCACATAAATAAGAAAATACTGTAAGCTAAAACTCCGTCTTACTGTTGGTAATTTTGATTGATAGATTCAAATCCCTCCGGTAGTCGTTGCCTGCGAAGTTTTGTTATAGTTTCCATTTGCTTGAAATCTCGCCCAACATAGACTGTCTGTATTTTTTCCAATTGTCAACCCTCTGGCCCACAACTACTTTTCCTTAATACAAAGTGAGTTTTTGAGGCAGAAGTTTTCTTTTACGCGGCTTCTTGAGTTCGCCTTTGTATGACACTTACCGAATGTTGCACGACTGGCATCCTCCATAAACACCACAGTTTTTTCAACTGCGATAATGAAAATGAAATATTCCAAGTTTAGAGTAATTTTTTTTTTTTTTTTTACCATTGCTCCAGTGTTAGACTAGATTGGATCTGGTCTTCCAATAGCAAATATCCTGTCGCGAATTTTTTTCTGAGCGACTGAACGACACATCTTTCTGTGGATCGATTTGACGGAGACGTCACCCGCTTACAGTTGATTGAAACGGTTATTTAAATAGTTCTATCTTGTCTCCATGCTAAAAGAGCGAGTCTTTATTTCCTCGGTAGGATGTCAGTAGGACGCCAAAGGAGCTTGTGCGGCAGCAATGTTTGCGCCATTGTCCATATGATAGTGTTCGTGATTCTGTGTCGATGGTAAGCGATTAAACCATTCCGACATCGGCGGGTAAGTTGAAGTGGTGTGGAAAGCTGGTGAATTTGTCCTGCCGGAAGACACACTTTCATCTTGAGGACTTGACGAACCGAGAGATTCCGAGGGCTTCGCGTGGAGTTTCATGTGCTTTCGAAGGGAACTTGGGTGGGTATAACTCTTGTTGCATCCTTCTATTTTGCAGATGTAAGGTTTATCAGACGTGTGAACGTGTGAGTGCTTCTTTCTATCACTCGAATTTGCGAAACGTCGATCGCAGCCGGGATATTCGCACATAAACGGTTTCTCACCGGTGTGCGTTCGCTTGTGAATCTTTAGGTTTTCTGATCTAGCAAAGAGCTTTCCACAGCCAGGGAATGGACACGAAAAAGGCTTTTCTCCCGTGTGCACACGAATGTGGTTGATAAGCTTATATTTGGCTTTAAAAGGTAGTCCATTACGAGGGCAATCTTTCCAGAAGCACACATGAGAACTGCTTTCCGGTCCACCAACATGATCTTCGGAAAGATGCGCTACTACGTCGTGCATTCGAAAGAATTGTCTCCCACAAGGCTTTCCTTTACTGCCCGGTTCGATCCATTCACAAACCACCACATGACTCAAAGGCTGGCGCAGGTAACTTCCAGGCATGGTTAGCCCTGCGTGCTGCATGAATTCGTAGCGCGGTGCAGCGAACGGGCTCGTAAATTGTGAATGATGAGGCTCATATTTGTCGTCTCGGGTGTAATACTCTATGCTTTTAGTGAACCTGTAAGGCCCGGGTAGAGGTCCGCCAGTTTGTTGATAGTGAGAGCCGGGCGGGTCATGAGCGTGAGCAACAGAATAAAACCCGTGAGGTGAACCATTGGTGCCATCTCGATGTGGTTCTTGCAGGCTGTTGAAGTGGCTTGGGTGAAGCTGGTGTATAACCGAGCCAGGGAACATGTTGTGTTGTCGCTGGTTGCTGCCTGCTCTAGCGACAGTTGTGTCAGATGCTAGATTTATACTGCTGTTAGGTGGACGAACAGCTGCGACGCTAGAACTGGTGAAGCTATCGGGTCCGGCGAATAAGAACTCATGAGCCGACGGACGAGCGGAGGAGCGCACGCCTTGAGCTGGCGTGAAAGGATAGTGAGAGCCATTTGGAACGTTGAAAGAGTCTTGCACAGTACTCATTCTTTTGTCTGGACGGCTTTGACGGGTCACTTTCTCCACAATATAATCGCGTGAGAAACCGGACAGAAAACTTAAATGAATCAATCGGGTTGGCTCTTTGTTTAATTCACAGTTTTGTCATCCTCCCATGGAACTAAATAAGCATCTGTGTCGTGCTGGGCAAGTCGAACTCTTCGACTGAGAAAAGCACGAACATTCCGCAATACCTCTCACACAGGGAAGCGCGGTTAACTTGTACAAAATGCGCGGGATTTGAAAGCTGCTGTCGTAGTGTTATCCTTTGAAGCCGACTCACCGTTCATCCAAGCATCTGTACTTGGTTGTGTTCGGAGCTCAGCATGAGTTCTCGGTCTATTGTAACTGAACTACACCGGTCTTTGATTGGCATTAGCAAGTTGTTGATATTTCGTTATCCAATCATCGCGTTAACGCCCCCAGGGTGTTTGGGTTGATAAATATTTTACGATGTGTTCGTCCTATCGAATCCAATCAATTGTTAGTGTTTCAATAGCAATCGTCTCATTCGAACAATCTCATTTGCAATCTAGAGAAACAATATGGAAAAAATTCTCGCATCAAACTCGAACAGTCAAACCAAAAAAAAAAAAACGGTCACTGTACACACTGAAAATTTTGTTTGCCACCTTCTTGAGTCGAATAGGATTAATTTGCATTGTCAATATTTGTCCTGAGGTGCCGACAAGTAATTTTCAAATATTTACAATTCGTATAAGGACGGTTTGATTAAGGGGAGGGAAGCACATGCCACCTCGAACTAAAGAATTTTAATTGCCTATTTTGACGGTTAAACGAACCAAATTCCCCCCTACAGAGCATTCATCGATCTGAGGCCTCATTGGACGTTATGGCAACCCAAGCCATTATTAATAAAATAAATGGTAGTGTTATAGGCTTCTCTTTTCATGTCATGAACAAGTGAAGAAGAATATCAACTTTTGTCAGATCTATTTATTTGTTCTGTCATTAGGTCACGGGCGATAACGCACGCAAGGGGCCGCAAGAGGCTATCAAGAGTCGTGCGAATCATCGTTGGTTTCATTTTAGCAAATGATTGTAATGTAAACGCTGTTCTTGAGGGAACAGTACCCCAGAACCCATCGACTTTTTGGTAGAGATTATAATTGAAAAGCCCCTCCTTCAACGCGATGTTATCGCCTGGAAGCGCGAAAGATCTTCCATCTCGGTGGTTTAACCACACACTTGAGCTAAATTGATAAAAAGCACTAGGTTAAATTTGTTTGTGAATATTCCGCGATTTGTGACATTTATAGTCACGAACTAAAGTTAGTGCTATTCTTCACACGACCTTCTTCTTCACTTTGTTGACAGTTTGAAGACAAACAAATTGAACAAGACCGATAGTTTCCTCGATGCGGCTTGGTTACGTGGAAGCGATACTATTGTCTTAGGTTTCTTTGTGGACGCCGACCCCAGCGGCAACACCTAAGCACTCATGACAACCGGTTGTCGCATCAAACATAACTATTTGTTCTCCTAACACGAGTTAAGTCGTGCCAGTGACAGACTCTGGAGTATTGAAGGGATACGGTATCATCGAAGAATCTATCTCCCTTGCGCTCTACCACCCAATGAAATCTGTAAGCAGTTTTTAGGATATTAGCCAGCCGAAAGAAACTAGAACATTCGTTGCTGCTAAAAATCAAACATCTTGTTACCACCTGGTTTCCTGCTAAATTCGTCAATAGCTGACATAATCAATGATTGTTGAAAATTTCCCCCAACGCCAGCAATATTTCGTGGGCTCAACCCATTCAGACTTGCCTCCGATGTACACAATAATATGTATTAAGCTATTAACCATTTCTGTGGTTCAAAACAACTCTCAACTCTAATCTTGAGAGAGCTATTTTTCGTGAAAATTGATATGTAAAACTTAGGGCAGTTTACGACATTTTACGACACAAAGCTAAATGAGTGTTTTTTGCGGCACTAGTCTGTCACTTAAAATGCTCTGACTGACAAAACAATGGGTTCAACCGTTGGAAAAAGATGATGACGATTTGAAGGCCAAGCGTACCTCGACCCCCTGCAAGTAACATTTGTTCAAGTTATGAAAACTACCTATTTTGATGATAGGAGGGAGGGAAAGTGCAAGAAGTACATCCACATTAGCAGCATTAGTGTCACGACGCCTCTCGACATTTTACCACTTAAGTAAATCCCGTAAGTTCACTGTCGAAGTGTCCAAAACAATTAGACCCCTACGCCTCTTGGTCGATTGTGAAGCAATCTTCACCAGACAATTACAATAAGTGCTTTTGGGTGTATTACAAAGCTGGACTGTATGTAACAGTTAATTCACTTCATATATCTAGAAATTTTTAGCTTTTTTCTTTTTTTTGACAGTGAAAGTCTCTGATGCTGCTTTCGCCTGAAGAAGTTTTCGTGACAAGCTACAGAAAACATTGAGCTCGCTGCGAATCGCAAGTTAAGGTAAACTTCAACAATAACTTATCAATCTTTCATTCGGTGCCAGCGCTAATTTCCATGCACGATAAATATACGTATCAAGTGAATCTTCGTGAGAGTAAACTGCTGTCAAATTAATACGTATTCATCCACTTTCCCCCAAATCAATATTTGATCAAAAATGATCCCGACATGGGGTCTTTCGGGAGAACGCTTCAAGCTGTGAGCGCTCACATTCAATAAGTCGGAATGCAAATTTAGAACATATTTTGATTATGCCTTACAAAAGAAACGTGGCCCACGCGAAGTTTCCTGTTAATATAAACAGAACAAGGTCAAGGATGGAATCTTTTATGATTTTGTTTTCTAAGCAAAGATGTGTGTCGTGAAAGTTTTAATGATTTTTTTATCGGCCTTGCAAAAGTTATCTCGTTCTAGAAGAATACTCTCGGAAGAAAGAATGATATCTCTGTGAATCTTGCAGCTTTCTGCCGTCCCTTGTTTTTGTTGGCGTTACCAAAATAGCCGGAATTTTCTTTTTCCTTGCATTTTCATTGGCTCTATCAATTTTGCTTTGATTTACGTTAAAACACAAAGTGTGAAAATCTAGTCATTTCTTTTTTATGTGGAGCTCATTTGCAATTCTTAAGAAGGAAATGGAAAGCCAGATAGATAAATTTTAGTTTCTACACTGCTCAAAAAAAAGGAGGGCTTAGATTTATGAAAACTCTGCCGCGCTCATATTTAGTGAGAATAAGGAAAAATTACTTTTGTATTTTATTTTCTGCCACTGCTGTTTACAGCAAACATGTCAAACTATATTTTGATTTTGAAGCAATTGTTGGAGACGTTGTTTACATGAAGAAACTTACATCGGAGAGGTTGTTGTACAATAAGAGAAAAACCACATCCATGAAACTTGGAGTTTTTACGACAAGAATAGAGAAAGTTAAAGAAGTTAATTCTCTCCGCAGTTACCTTGATAGCGGTGGACTTCATCTTCAACTTATTGGCAATTGCAGTAAATCTCGCGTGATTCACTTATCGGTTCTTTTTCTCTTTTCTTAACCTTGTCTCTTCTGCAATTATGCTCATTCTTTCCGAACATGGAGATAAACTTAGTGACAAGGAGGACATTACGATATCGCTTGCGGCATAAAAAGAATACTAGTTGTTTCAGAAACCAATTTTCCTTTACGCGATATAATCGTTTTCAGGGAATACATTCAGTCTGACTTCTTATCAAGGTAACCCTCTCTACTTCAAACGGTCTAATTAAAAGCAACGTGAAATCGTTATATCCTTCATTAAATCCATTAACCGCCATCTGACAAAGCCTTTGGGTGCTCGACATTGGCGAAACTTTTATCCTTTTAAATGTCCTTGTGAAAGTCAGATGAATAGCGTGTTTGACAATACAAAACTCTAATTTGTTGACACTACACACTGGCAGGGGGCAAGAGAGGGGGCGCAGTAATACAGGATTGATTTCTTATCTAGGTTGATCCCAATTATTACTTATTGCTTGGAAGGGCGGGAGGAATACAGCTTATTTACACAGCGTATATCTCTATTTGCTGAGGCTATCGTAGCTCCTTTTGCGCCTGTTTGAAATTAATTATCCTTAAATGAACCTTCCAAATGTACTTGGAGATTTCTATCCAAGGTTTCTCTGCAGTGGATTAGCAAACAGAATTATGTGGGTGGGAATTAAATAGGAACCCCTTTGTGCCAATACAAAGTTTAACTTACGCAAGTTTCAAGGTTAAGTGAAATTTTTCTCTCAATTATCTCTGATCAGACATTTTGAGTTGAGTCAAGAAAAGACAGCTACTGGCAAATGGATCCCTGAGGGACTTCTCTTTTGGCTAAAAGTCAGCGCAAAATGAACCCCGTTTATTTAACGTCTGCATAAATCTATGTAAGTGTGGCTATTTTAAATAAAACGAACTATTTACAATTCATGTATTGACTCTGTGTTTACTTAAGAGATTGAAAACTAAATATTTCATTACCTACTTGTCTAAATATATATTCTTTGACGGTTTCTCTTAAAACTGATATATCTGGTAGAAAACTGGCAAATATTTGTGGATTGGAACTTAAGAATAGTCGTTTGACATTTTTCTCGAACGCTTCTACGACTTATGCCAAAAGAAAAGAAGTTAGCGTTGTCTGAATATTGGTCGAGCCACCTGCAGTGATGGCCAAAACAAGTTTACTGTCTACAGTTATCGAATAAAACCATTTCCTATTCAGTAGTTTAAGTTTGTTAATTAACTGTCAGTTGCGTTGAAAAGACCGATCAGGGGCTATTTCGCAATAAGGACCCCTTTGGAACAGGAAAATAGCCAGAAATGACATGTTTCGGTAATCTGTGCCTTGTCCAAACACCGTTAACAATCTGCTGAATTTATCATACAGGAAGGAAGAGAGAATTCTTCTTTATCGGCGCTGCCGCTTGTGGTGACTAATGTTGATTTAGGTGCTCAGTAGACCAATTTGCAAGATTCCAATTAAAAAGGCTTTGTTGTACAACCTTGTCTACAGCGAGTAATGGCTCAAATTTAATTGGGTATCACTTTCGCCTACAGTGCTTTTTTTTTTTTTTTCAGCTTTAAACAATGCGCCACGCGATGAAGGTAATGCCGAGTAAATCCGCCGAATAAAATTGGTTTATAGAGAAATAAACTAGTCACCGTGGCTGACTGTTTACAGTGATTTGAGAGTAATCAGCGACGATTAGATTTTATATATCATAATAAGGTAAAAATCTACATGATATAAGCTATGTCTTCTATTTCCGAAACCCATTAATAGCCAGCTCCCATACCCGCTATTGAGAAGCTCATATACCAGGTGGTCCGGCAGGAAGTGATAGGGAGGCGATGTCAGCACGCCTTCAGCCGTGCTGACATTAGACTTTCTCAAAGTCGTTCGCTTGGTTTTCTGTTCTGGTGTGGAAGGACTCGCACGACTCGGCTCGCGCTTCGCGCTCGCGCTACGCGCTCAAAGGCGCTTGTGAGCAAGTCTATGCTGACATCTTTTCCCTTACTAGTTCAATGGAGGTACCTATTTCAGTTACACGTATGATCTTACTCTTTGACTTGGTTTTTAGAAGTAAGAATTTCTCTCAGCTCTTACAGCTTATAATTTCTGTTGTAAATAAGTTTCGCTTTAATTCTTTCGAATCATTCCTAATTCGTCGTAATTCATATCTATATTTCTCCTTGACATCCTTGTTTAGTTTTAAACGTATTCTGAGATAAGTAAGCATGTGACGAACCCATTTTGTAGTGGTACACTAAGAGGTCGCCAAGACAGCTTCGAGATGCAAAAAGGCCCAATTTTTTTTCTCATTCCCTAAATTAACGTCCCTCCAACTGACGTTCAGTGAATAAAACGTGAATAAATAACTTTCACTGCGGGAGGGTAAACTTCAAATCAGTTCCTTAGAGTTTCTTATTTAATATGAATAGCTTTGTAACCTTGAACCGTTGAAACGTTAAGGTAAGTTTTCGAGTGATTGACGGTACATCCCATATGATTTTGATGAAAAATATGTGGTTTAGTTTAAAACGTATAAACTTACGACGTACTGACATCCCTACAAATCTGAACAAAATTAGTCAGGACGAATTCTTTAGAATGGAAATTGCAAGAGATGTTACGGTGACAATTTTGTCTTTCCTTGTGGCATTTTATTACTATCGGGGGGAGGGGAGGTGATTAACGGTGGAGACTGACTGATCGACAGAGCGGCGTTAATGTTATGCAACAAGATGATTTCGTCACCTTTAAGCTGTTTGGATGAATTGTTTTGTTTTTTTTTTTTACGAAACGTTTCTTTTTTTCTTATTTCAAGATCATTTTTAAAGCAGTTTGATGTCTCAACTGAACCCGGTTCAAAGTGAAATAGGAGAATTTTGGGATTGGCAGTTCATGAATTCACCAGAACGAAACGACTAAAGATATCGATGATGTTATCATTACTTAATCGAAGCAAACTCCTTTAGGCAAACGTTCCCACAAAGTAAACAATTTTGAAGCTAAATGACAACGGCTAAACCGTTTCTAAGATCTTTGATGTGTATCTCCCAATCTAAACATTTTAATGACAAAAGCTGAGCGTTTTTCAACCCTTCAAGGGAATTCACAGATAAGTTTGGTTTGTGCTGATTTTAAACCATCTGGAATGAGAAAACTTTGCCCTTGGGCGATTAAATTTAATTTCCTGTTTGGCGAGGTGTATCGTATAATCTCAGCCACAACAATAGATCCAATCTGTCAAAAATCTGTCTTTTGTTTTCGGATACAAGATTATATGACGGAGTAAGGTCAACTGAGGGAATCGAATAAGCTCATGCACGTTTTGGATGATTACGTTGTGAAAACAATATGTGAATTGGACGAGGATAAATAATCAATTATCTTGATCATACTTGACTTTGATAAAGCAGCCTTTTCAAAGGAAATTTATTTTTCTTTGCCTTATTATGCTTTCTAGAAGTAGTTTTTTTGTGGTAGGAACCAACCGACTCTTTAAAGGTTTCAAAAACACTTTCTGTTTTAGTTTAAGTTTTGTCTTTAAAGCTGCAAAAAGTTTAAAAAATCGTGTTTTATCGGTTGTCGGCAAACCGTAAAAGTAACGGTTGAGTCACTCCTAAATGATCGATTTGAGTTAACAATGATTATTTTGCGGTCTTAACAAAGAATCTTTTGGCAACGCTCGAAACTGAAGGGGTTAATTCTTACCCTAGCAGTGTCTATGGGGGAGGCGAAAATCTTTCGTATGGCGGATTAAGCGCTGCGGTTAGAAATTTTAACCTTTCGTGCTTGGACAGCCCACCGCAAAGGAATCATCGTTGGTGGGTCGAATAAATTTGTAAACCGCGAAATTTAAACAATATCGGAGAGGAAGCAGATAGCGCCATTTGTCATCAATTGCCATGATGTCGGTAGGGTTACAAGGAAATTAAGGTTTTGTGTTTTGCCCACCAGCCTCAGGCAAAATTTCTCACAAACAGGTGTCGGTAACTGTATAATCAAACGAAATGACAGTTTACAGAGTATGAAGATAAAATATCTTGTTATGTCCTTCAATCACTTCACTCCAAAATGTCCAAATACATTTTTAAAAATAAAAATGGTACCATTTTTTTTTCATGGGAAAAATAAGCGATTTTGCTGGTCTATTGTAACAAACATTCAAGCCATGTTTTGACTATAGTTTTTGCGGGTGAACAACTTAAGAGAGAGAGAGATAGACAATATTCTTCTTTTGTGCGGTTTTTTAAAAGCGCAAATTTTGTCACTTTTAATGAACGACTTCAGTTCTTTCTTCTCTTGGAAATAACCTTAAGGGATCAAATCTAGGGAAACCACGCTGAGACTCTACAAGAAACGATTAGTTTTGGAATCAGCAACTAAGTTTTTGGTAATAGTTGGAAATTTGACAATGACTTTTTAGTGGGTTAACCGAAGTTATTTTTCAATCAGGTTAAAACTAATTAATTTTAAAGTGATGCAATATATTTAACAGAACAACTCCGCAGCAAAATTTGTTTCCTCGACTGAAATCAAATTGAAGTAGACCTGCGAGCTTTCGAAAGAAGCATTCAAAAGCACAAGAAGATATATGATAAGAGTTGCGAAAGTACGAATTTCGAGAATGCATAACCAGTTCTGATAACATGTTTTGAAGTTTCCCTGCTGTTTAAAGAACGTAAGCAAGCCTGTGCTGCAGTAAACACCATTGAAACATTGATGGATGTCTTTGAACAAACGTTTGATAGCTAGTGACGTGTCATTTCACTAAATTATTGACCTTGGCAACCAGTTGTTCAGTTTCCGCGGGTCATTTCTACCCCCGCGCGCAAAAATTAGTAGGACACGCTCCGGTTATCAATCAGCAGAGTACTCTCATAGTTGGAGTTATATGCCTATCACAAGCAGGTTGATAATCGCCTTGAGAACACTGTGCAGATGTGAATTATGTCCCTAACTCTAACCTTATTGCTCTTCTACATGGTTCTTTTTTTATTACAAAAAAAATCACGAGCGGTTATGTCTATCAAATATTATGACTTGAAACAGCAAGGTTGCAATCATTTATAGTGAATAAGTGATAGACATTTCTTTTGATCCAAGAAACTTTTAAATCTCCCTCATTTCTCCATAGAGAAGCAAGTAACGATTTTAAAAAGCGGATATGTATACCTATATGGTAACCTCTGTCAGAAAAGTAATGAAGTGAATAATACAGGTAAAGTCTGCATAAGGTACTAACCTGTATACTTACCACACTAACTTAGCCTTTGTAATATGTAGTAAACAAGTGTATCCTGACTCCTCGTGAATAAACTGTCAGTCTGTAGCAGGGTTACTCCCACATTTTTTCCTTGTGTCACCAAGGGAGGGGAAGGTACTGTCGGTATAAAGTTTCTTGCCACAGAAATGATCAAAATTTTACCATCTTTCCAATTCTATGAATTCGTCGTTGTAGACGTTGCTGCGTCTCATATGAAAATAGCAATGACTTAGCTCATCGTCGAGTTTTTTTGTAACTCAGCGGTACAGTTTAGTTCCGAAGAATTTACAGACTTATCAGCCAGAGTTTCGGTGATTGCCAAAATCTTTTAAACAGTTTTCCAGGAAACGAAAACAGCTGAAAGAAAGAATTTCTCATCAGTTCCTGGCTGTTACAGAGTTAACGTGTTTTCTTAGCATGGAAGGATCTCTAAAACGTATGCAGAGACATCAGGTATCAGCTGCTTTATAAGGGTCGAAACGAAAATCGATGATTGATGATTGGTTTGGCATGTGCTCTAGTGGAAGGGGGCCTTGACCAAAATTTGAAAATAAAAAAAAAATGACAATGAAAATTTTTTTTAACCAATTGGTTTCGAACGCATTATCCTA